TCTATCTATCTATCTATCTATCTATCTATCTATCTATCTATCTATCTATCTATCTATCTATCTATCTATCTCTTTCTTTTTTTAAAGCAGCCTTATGCTTACCGAGTCCTGTGACATCACCCTACACTGTAGCTGGGGATCTCTGGAGCTCCTGCTGGCGGCTTGGCCAGCATCCTCGTGTGTGTGGCTGTGTAAGCACGAGTTTCTGACAAAGAGCTTTTGATGCGTTACATTCCACAGCGGCTGCATGGAGCTGGAGAGTTCCTAGGCTCTGCAGCAACTTTAAATGAAGATTTATCACATCTCAGCTGCCTGTAAAGACAGTGCTCCGTTTTTTGAAGAAGTATTTGATGCAAGAGGAAAAGACAGCGGGCCCTCTGAGGCAACACTTGACTGTTCTGAACTTCTAAGACTGTAAAAACACTGAGCATCAAAGGTCACCACGGGATCAAAATATGGGCCCACAACATTTATGCCACAACGCGTTTAGACATCTGAAGCCAAAACGCTTGCCAAGCATAAAGCATTTTTAAATGACATCTGATTAGGGGTGTGTTTGTGTTTGGACAAGAATCGGATGAAACTCACTTGCTGTTGGGGTCATTAGCTGTGGAAATGGTCTTGACTTCGTCCACGGCCGAGTTGAAGTCCTTGATGTTCTCTGAGGAGTACAGACCGGAGGGGCTGTTGTACTGGTTGGTCACTACTTTGGGGCCGAAACCAGAAAAAGGCAGGGCGCTCCTGTTGTGAGATGAGCCTATGGATTTTACTTCCTGTAACAAGACAACGAAAAAAGGTGTTATTTGTTTAAGGCTTTTATGAATGTTTCAAGTTGTAAAGAGCTAAATATAACTTTCCCACTGCCTAAAACATGCATCACACTGTGTGTAAACGCGATGGAGCGGAGCCCGCTTTGAATGATTCCTGCTGAACTTTGAATGTTTTTCTGAGCTTACACACACACACACAAGCATGCCTGTGAAGAACACCCGGCCTCTGGAGCTTTCTGCAATGAATGTGATGTTATTTCTGCTAACTTTGGACACATAAGCGAAAACCTCGTTCAACAAAAACTGCTTCTAGCTGGACACATAGTTTCACATAATCTAACAGCATGTGGATTCCTGTGTAATTACGCCAGCTAACGGGCTTAATGCACAAACGTGTAACGAGTCTGGCATGCCATCAAAGTGGTCACACACATACTACCAATACCTCATGCTCACACTGTGCAAACAAGGAAATGCCTCCAAACGCAGCTCATGCATCAACTTTGGACGTTTAAGTGGCAGACTTTATCTCAAAGTCCCAGCAGCCACGTCGATGATCCAAAAAAAGAAAGAAAAAAAAAGCTCACACGGGTGGTGAAGTCGCATCAGAGCGACGGATTTCAGACAAACCCTCAAAACACGAGTTCTTAAGTATGTAAGAAGCAGAGTGCGCACACACACACAGGACACACACAGGACACACACAGGGCCTGGGACGCCGTTTCCCTACATGAATACACACGCTGGCCTCAACTTTCCACTCAGTGGGCAGGAACTGAGGCTTGCGTCATAGCTCGGCTGATAAATTACCGTCTCCTAGGAAACCTCCTGTTGGGAAGCAAACAATTACTTCATTGCTGGCAGCAAGAATATGTAAAAAAAAAAAAAAAAAAACCCCTTAGCAGTAATAGGGAGTAACAATTATTCAGGCCTCCTGGATACAGGACTTCCTGATGTTAGTGTAAATGACAGAGCGTGGGGGGGGTGGGGGGAGGGGGTTAAAAGTTAAAGCCCAGACCCAGCTTTGATGAGGACACACACCCGAGGCTCTGATGCAAGATTCATCTTGTACGGGTGAGCCTTCCCTTCCTCAGACGAGAGCGGCGACCACAGTTTAGCTTCTGACCTGAGAAGTAGAGGAAGAAAAACACATTTTGACTGATGCACACCATGAGCTTAAAAGCAACACAGTCTGTCTTTTCTCTTTTCTTTCTCTTCTTTTTACAAGAGCGTGACATCCTCTCTCTGTCTCTGAATGAAATGGAGACCTTGCATGTGCCCACATGCACTCACTTTCTCCTCCAGGTTCTTACAGACGGGGCATATTTGCTTAAGCCTGTCTGCTGAATCTTGTTCGACATCCGTGCTGATTAAACACATCTGCTGCCAGACAGCTGTGACGTAATGCGGTGAAATAAGAAAAACAAAAAAAGAATTGCAAAACAGCTCGACACACAGACGCTTCTCAGAAGAAGGAGTTTTGTAGAACAATGGCCAACCCATACTCACTCGCTGAACACCTGGATTTCGGCTCGACCGTCTTAAATGACTCAGCGTATTTGGCGCCCGCGGCTACGTGGTTCAGACCGGCGCATCCGCCCACAGCCTACCTGTCTACGGAGAGCACCATCTCCTCCACGCAGCCCTTGATCTTGTTCTGCGCCTCCAGGTGAGTCATGCTCTCCGTTGGCTCTCCATCGATGGCCAGGATGATGTCTCCAATGCACAGGTTGGCTTGGGCTGCCTTGCTGCCGGGGTTCACCTACAAGGAGACGACACACTGAATAACCAAAGGCACCGTCTGGGACACTCTGGAAGACGCACCAGGACGTGTTCCAGATCTTCAGAGTCAAAGCTTTGTTGTTGTTGCTTTAAAAGATGGATTTTTACTATAGCTTTTTTTTAAAAGCCCCAGAAAAGGATATTAAAAATATACACGATGCGATATGTGTGAAAAAAAGAGGACTAAACTACAGCCCAAAAGGCTTTTCTTCAATCAAAAGCTTAGATCTAAAGTGCTGCATTTTTAAAGCTGATCTACAGGAGCCTTTACACACATTCCGCTGTTTACAGTAAACATAGTTTTCAGCCAGAGGCCCGGAGGACAGATGATCCATTAAGATAAGGGGGCTAAAAGCAGAGAAAGAGACGGGCACAGTCCAGAAATTCCAAATGACTTTTCCATGGGTGGAGTGGGCTAACCCTGGGAGCAAAGTTTACAATAGAAACAGCCACCTTCATGCTGGCAAACTCCACAGTGGAGAGGTGCCCACTTCTACCGCACAGCCGGACAGCCCTGTAAAAGCTCTGAATTATGTTTACCAAGTTAAAGAAAGGGTTAAAAGAAGAAGAAGAAAGGCTTGCCAGCAGTCTAAAGAACTGTTAGACTTTCTACACCTTGTTGGGTTATGTTTCTGGGGTCATTATAAGTGTAGGCTATTCAATAAAGATTTCCAATGGAGAATTCTGAGCCACAGCTGAGAATAGATCCAACTGCAGGGTCCATTTGTTTACCTTTAACAGGTATGTGCTCAGGCAGGGTTAGTTTTAAACCAAACTGAGCAATTAATGATGTGTCCTTAACATTAAATCTGCTGGTTACAAGAACTAGTTCATAGAGTTGTTGTCGACATACTATTTAGGTTTGCTAAACAATAAATAACCTTTAATGTGTGCTTTTGAAAAAAAACTGCTTGGTTAAATCTACAACAGACATAACCTGAAGTCAAGTAAACTCTCAACATGGTTTTTGAGGATGTACATTCTATCCGTAAGAGGAATAGAAAACATGTTATGGAAGCTAAATAGCGACATGATAAAAAATGTGTGTATGTGGGGGGTCTTTAAAAAAGTTTTGGAATGAGGACACAAAGAGGAGTCATACAACCATGATTTCCCCCATTGCTTGAGCTACTTTTTGAATATCTAAGAGGGGAATTGGGTTAATACTGACAGATAGGAGTCGAACGTGTTCATTATTCCTGTCAGTTCGGCCTCACAGGTTACAGCCGCTAACTTCCAGCAAACTGCTCAGGTAGCCGCCGCTAGCCTTAGCATCCCGTTCACCCGAAGCTAACGCGGAGGTAAGGGAATAAAAACCGTATCCTGAGGGTAGCACAGGTTTGTCTGCCCCGAACAAAAAATGTAACCCCTGAGTGAAGTGTCAACTTACCCGGGAAATAGCCAGCGGCTGCTCGAAGTCCTTTCCCCCGACCAGTCGAAATCCCCAGGGGCCGGGACCCTGCATCACTACACGCTGAGGCATAATGTAATTGTTTCCAACCCTTTCGGTGACTTCAACAACTGTGGGTGTGTGTTTGGGGGAACGCTGCAGCTCTCTGGCTTAGTTCCTTCCACATATGACATGAGCCTCACCACAGCTCAGAAGCCTTACAGCAAGGGGTGGATCCTCAGGTTAGAGCTGGACGAATCGATTTTGAAGTTTCCTCGCTGATAACGAAGAGACCAAAGATCGTGTATAAAGAAGATGGGCCACTTCGGAGCTATTGAAAACTCCCAGCTGGTCGCTGTCAACACTTCCGGTCACGTGATTCTGCACTTGTTATTGATTGGCTTCTGCCACTTCACAGAACCCGTTCATCCGTAAAAGAAAAGCGTTTTACCTCAAATTTTCTTTACAATCTTATCTGTGAGACATACGCTATTTACATCTAATTATATTGCACACACGGTAGTAGTTAATATTACAACATGGTTCTATATTAATAAAATTGAACTGAAATTAATTGCCATTACCTATGTCAATACAAAGGTATCCATCATTCTGTTTTCATTCCTACGTCATTCTATTCTGGGATTCTGGTCATGTGGCAAAAACCCTAAAATGCTACCCAAAATATTTCATAGGGGGTATTAGTTGAACGCGTCAGTTTTCACGTAATATAAGTTCCTTGAAAGCAAGGTAGAGAGAAAACTCTTCATTTTTCACCTCTCTTTTACGAGCTCCGCTATTTGTTTTAGGGATGTCGGCATGCCGTTACGTCACCGTGTTAAGTGCAAGCTTACCATTTATGGTAGAGCTAAATCCCAGGATGTGGAATGTGCCGCTCCCAAATCGTGAATTCCTGCCAGGAGGAGTTCTCTGCTGAAATACCAGGGCTCACTGACTGAATGAAACACGCCCGTTCTTGTTGGGTTTACGTGTATCTTTACAAGTCCACGTATGAGCATGCAGCCCCTCCAGTGTTTGGGATCAGCTTTAGTAGAGAGTGAAACTACCACAGCTTGTTGGGTCTGTGAACACACATCTGCCTACATCATCAGCTGAGGGCTGAAACCCATCTCACGAAGTTGATGCTCAAGGAGAGACACCAAATTCCAAGCAACCATATTTTAGAGTAGCACAGGCTGGCTTCTGATCAGCCTGGAGCCCCTTAAAAAGTGAACAAAGGCATTTAGGAATAACAGTGAAGAAAATACTAAACTTAGATTTCTAAAGGATATCAAAACCCACTTTTTGGGGGCCTAACGAGTTGTTCTGACACCATACTGTATGTAGCTTAAGGTCAGAATAGTGTTTTTACTTTTAAATTGTGGGATCAACCTCTCATCGTATCTCAGTCTATCTATGTGTACTTCTAACGATAAATGCATGAAATGGGTGCTGTCCACAGTGGTGATATTGATGGGTGTATCTAACAGGAATTTTGTAAACGAAGGAACTCTTAACTGACATTCCCTGATCAGGAAGTAATGAATTAGGAGGTACATTACACTACAAGGTGGAATGTAATGCAGCTAAAGAAAGTGTCTTCCACCAGGCCAGAAATAGACAGCCAAACCTTTGACTCAGATAATGAGCCTTAAAAAAAAAGGCATTAAAAAAACCCCACTCTCATGCATAGTTTCAATTTCAACTTACTGGAGAAACTTTCTAATGCCACGGGAGTGACAACTCTTAGAAGAAATAAAAAAGGTGAGGCACCAAATGCTTTAAATTGTTTATTAAATATTGCATAATACCGAAGTCACATCAGTGTATACTATTTTCATTTTAATATCGTCAATGTAAGAGCACTGCAAATAGAAGCAAACAAACCAAACCAATTGCAGGTTGTGTCTCATCAAACTACTCCACCCCTCTGATTATTAATTCATTAAGAAGCACTGTGTCACACTCGTAGGTACGTGTACAGTAACAGACATGGTCTTATTAAAAGTTCCCCATCATGGGGACTAGAATTAACCGAAAAATAATCATAATGTCATGAGAAATTTCAGTGATACTCTGGGAAAAAAAAAAACAGACAATGAGGCACAATTTTTTGTATCTAACATAAGGCATTATGATCCTTACAAATGGCAGCGTACATTTTTGTTTAGGTCTATCTTTCTGTGCTGAGTAACGCTGCACTCTGTGGTTTACCAAAAAAAAAAGAAAAAATCCTTCAGGCAAATAAACCAAAGCAAGCGACCGAGAGCTCAGTCTGTCACCCGCTGCTTATTTTTTTATTTTACATATTTACAGTCCTTCCTGTGTCCTGCATGTTCATTCAAGGTGAAATTTAGACATTCTCTTTACACAGCAGTGTACACTGCCTGCACAACATTAATTTACTCATACATTCACACATCCCGTGGTGTTTAACGGAGCACAATGACCACACTACGTTGCATTGGTTTTTCGACTGAATGAGTTATTGGTTATTTGCCCACCATAAAGAGTGTTCAACATCTTATTCCTTTTGTTCGGACAAAAGGGAAAAGAAACAATCCGAGCAAGGCAACAGATTAGTTGACATATTTCTGAAAAGCTGGAGTTACAGCAGAACAAACATGTTTAGCCTGCAGTGTAGGCTTCTGTGGTGAACCACATATATATACCAGTGCTACAGAGACAGACCCACTGTGTCTTGTTTAGTCATGCTGAGAAAATAAGCCCTTGCTGATGTTGGCAAAATGATCAGACGCAATTTGAAGATGAAAATCCCAATTGAAGAGCTAAAGAAAAAGAAGAAAACCCCCCACAGAAGATGAAACACTGATTGAATTGAAATCCAAATACTTCTTGATGTTTTATGTGGGAGTCCGGCACGCTTAAAAAAAAAAGAGTTCAAATCAGGCTAAATGGGCTTCTGGATCAAGCGACTTAACCCTTTTACAGCACAGTGATTCACATCGTGTTTCAAAAATTGACCGACACCCCTTGGCTTAAAGACAGAGCCCGCTGATAGTCTGCCACCTGATTAGACTTGTATCAGAGAGAAAACAAGGATGACGCTCTCGCATGGAGAGCATCTTTGCACACACCAACCATCCTGATATAAACTACAGAAATACCTGTTAAGCAGTTTCCACGCAGGCTGCAACCCTGCTCTGCTTCGAGCAGGTCATAACAAGCACTGAGAGTCATCAGCAGGTAGAACTCCACAGCTCTGGTCTGGCTCCACTGAGCTCAGTGCAGTGACTGCTGCTGTCAACCAGGAATTCATGAATGGAGGCCAAATAATACACGAGCTATCTTTTTGGGGGCTGTTTATCTGCCTCAGACGATCTCCTCTTACAGTGTCTGATGCTGCTGGAGATGTGGGAGCTCTGTGCTTGCAGGGCGACACCACCGATGCTTTAGATTAGCAGAACTCGAAAAAAACCTCACAGCTCAACGAGCAGCCTCAGTCTTCACCTGTTTGCTTTAAGCCAAAAGGTGCGGATATTGGAGAGGTTGAGATTCAAGTTTCACGCTCCAGTCCGATTAGTTTGTTGACTTTACAGTGCAGGCTGTACTAATGCTAACCTTACAGCTGAGGTCATCTCATAAGAAAATACATGGCCTTATTTGGAAGGCCTCTCAGTTGTCTGTAGGCATTTACATGTATATATACATTCCTCCGAGTAAGGGCACAGTTAAAATCTCTATATGCAGGTAAAAACCAGGACAACTTGTTGACTTTTGCTTGATGATTAATCTGGTTTCGTCTTGTTAGGTGGGATCTTTCCAAATAACCGAACAGGAAGTTAAGTGCTACCACGCCTGTCCTGTGGTCACGCTGAAGTCAGCAGTCTACCATCAGCTACCTTAGAGGCATCAATAATCAGCCAATACAGTTTACTCATTTCTCAAGAAACGTGTTATAAAAGGACAAAAATATATTTCTTAAAACGAAAAAAAGATGTGCATATAAACGTTTTTTCCCCCCCCACTTTTATAAGACATGCAATGCAGCCCGTGTGTCCAGTATCTGTGTTCTAGACATGCAGTGACTGTGTTCATAACTGCAGAACAAACCTTTGGATAGAAAATAAACGCAATACTGAAGTGGTATTCAAACACTGAGATATAAACGTCAAGTACCTCAAGAGCAGGCAGCACAGAGATTAGGATGATTGAAAAACATAAAAAAGAAAGCAAAACAACTGCAACACACGAGTTCCTGCAGGGAAGTCTTACGTAAGGCTTCTTAGCTCCTGAGGAAAGGCCTTTTTTGACTTAAATCTAAACAGAGGGAGATGTTCTGGTTGCCAGACTCACAGGATGAGCAGTTACATGGAATTTCAGAACTGTATTGATCTAAATATTAAAGGTTTAAAAGTTAATTTTTCATCTTTAAAGACGTGACTTGTCATTTTTAATTTTAATTGCGTTTTTTAATTCTGGCCCGGAAAGGTAGCTCATGAAAACCAGCCCCAAACTCCACATCGTGAAAACTTCCATCCTACTCCTCCAAAGACCCCTCAATGTAATGAGATCCACTCTTTTGATCCCTAATCTGCTCTGCTGCCTGCCTCTCAGCTGCGATGCTACGTAAACACTCGTGTGCTGATGTATAGCGTGAACGAACCGGAAGCTTGTGCACACGCGAGCTAATTCCTGGGAGCGATTGCACACGTGGAGACGGATGAATTCTGTCAAAAGGTAAGAAACACGCGGCCATGGTGCGCACCGTGCTGAGGATTGGGCAGTGAGTTGTCCCCATCTTCTCTTCGTGCAGTTTGACATACCCCAGGCCGAACCGATCACTTTCCCAGACAAGTTATATTGGCCTGGCTAAATGACTATTCTAACCAACAGCCATGCGCGGTAGTAATGACTTCCCAAGCTTGACAAGCAACCATATGTTACAACCAGATTAGACGTCTTTACAGTTTCACTTCCTTCACGTAATTCCCGGGGAAAGTCCCAAACTGCTTTGTCCTCTTTGATGTGCCTGTGGAGAAAAAAATTAAATGCAAGCGTTACCGGAGGGAAAAAGAAATTTGGAGGATTTTTTTATAGGCTGAAAGCTAACGCAACCTATTTTAGTCAAAAATAGCATGTGCGTGCGCATTTCACTCAATACCTTGTTGTCATTTTTCAGAAACACTATATGGGGGGCTGTGACACAGCGACGACGGTTCTAATTTTCCAGGAGCCCTTACTATGCACATTGCATGCAGGCAGTCCTTTGCTGCCGTTTTACAGAAACCCTATAGGCATTAATGGCGCGAAGGACTCCGTCCGGCTCCACATACCAACAAACCAGCCGTCATCGCACTTCTCCATGACGCTGACAAGATCTCCTTCCTGCAGCTCCAGCTCGTCGTCGTTCTGTGGCACATAACTATACAAAGCCTGGAAGCTGGAGCGGCAAAAAGAGGAGGAATCAGGCAATGAAGAGAAGTTAATTAGATTCATGTTTGGCCCCAAAAAAAAAAGGAGTGAAACGGAAAAACCGCACTCACATTCCACAGCTGAGACGGCTGGGCTCTGGGCTGCTACTGTGGGACTGGGGTTGCTGGGAAATGATGAGAGATTGTTTACTGTGTTGGGGTTGGAGTCTATGGACAGAGGCATTATGGTGGTGGGACAGGGTGCTGCAGTACCTCACCGAGGTCTCAGCTATATTCAAAATCTCATTACACACTGCCTCCTAGTAGTAGTAGTAGAGGGACACACAGCAGGCCCCATCAAGGGTCCCACAGGAGGCCAAGATGAAGTGAGGTGAGTAGTTAGAGAGGGAAGGGAGGAGGAGGAGGGGGGGTGGCGGAACAGGAAGGTAGGTCCAATAAGTAGCACAGTCAGAAAAGGAAGTGATCCGTTAAAAGCCAGGAGAAAAAGTAGAGGAGATGTTGGTGGAGCCCAGGAGTAGAGGCATGAATAGGCAGGACACCAGAGTGGGAGCATGTAGACAGGAGATATGAAACATTAGTTCACTTTTACACAATATTAGTCAGTGTGAGCATGCAGCATAAAGGGGAGCAGACAGGCACGGCTTGACATCTTAGGTCGACTACTTTCTTGCTGAAATCTACATGGTGTCTCATTCACATATGTGTGCTGAATATTAGGCAGAAGAGATTTTTGCCCAACTAAGGAATTGTTGAGATAACAGTTGAGATAAGAGTCTGGTGGCCTCTGAGTAGAAAGGCAATAATGATCTGAATCAAGGAAAAAATGTCAAAAACTGATAAAGAGGGATAATGAAAATAAGTGCTTGGCTGATTTGATAGCCACTCGGGAGGGAAGGCTGGGTGAAATCTGCTCTGGTTAGAAAGCCGGATATTTCCTATGTTGACATTATGCTCATGATATCCTGAGCAGATGGGTTTTGATGTCAGTATTGGGTTTGAACAGCAGATGGCATTCCAACACGCTGAAAAGCAGATGTTATTTTACTTACAATTAGCATTTTTCTAATTCAATAAAGTATAGAGTCTCTATTAATGTGTTTTAGATGTGTAGCTCTTTCCCTGTTTTTGGCCTTTCTGCTAAACTGAGCTAAGAAAGGCTACCCCAAATTAAGCTGATCTAACCAGTTTACAAACATAAAATCTTACAGCAAGAAAGCAACTAATTTTCTGAATGTCAAACTACTCGATGAAGAACATTCTGTGAAATGAAACACATTACAAAAACTGGACATAATGATTGTATGGGTTAAAAGGATCTGAGAATGGGATGTTTAATATGAGAAAGAAACGATGATGCCACCTTAGTTACACACAGCTTTCTTACGTCTCTTGGAAAAGACACCCTTCCGTCCTCTTACCGCAAAGGAGTTGACATTGTTGTTATCCTGAATGTCAAAAAGCATCACAGGGCTCCTGGAGCTCCGGCCATGATGGTCAGCCTCGTTTTTCGCAAACTGAAAGACAGAAATCAGAGCACACCCAACATGAATGCTCACCAGTGACACAAGTTTCCGTGGCTAAGCACCAGCCAGATTACGTTACCCTGTAGGTGGAAATTTCAACCTCGCCACAGCTTTTGAAACAGAGGCCAACATGTGAAACCTATAAATACACGCTAATAAATATGTCACTGTCCTAAATAAACTGCCAACCTCTGACTGGCATCCAAGCTATCGCATCTTTAGGTGGGAGGACAACATCATGCAACCATGTGCTGCGCATTACAGAGGCGAGGCAACATGAGATCCCAGATCGGCAGGAAAAATGTGAGCATATCATCTCTGGAAACTCTCTGTGTGAGAGGGATGTGCTTAAAACTGACACGACACCATCATAACCGTGAGGCGACACCCGTCATGATCCATGAACACAAAGAATGTTTATGAGCATCGTCGTTTGTGTCGGTTCCATTATTTGTAATGCTAAGTTAACGTTGGTTGACGCGACTTTGCGTCTTTTGAGATGTTTACTAAATAACGGGCCGGTGTGGTCACCACAGGTCCGGAAACGAACGAGCTTGCGTCATGCCTGGTGGTCATTTCCGTTTTGTTTTGACTCCCGACTGTCACACGACCAATAAAACGGTGTTGTGAATTTTTCCCTTGACCCATGGGCGTGTCACATAAGCTTGTTTACACAAACCTAACCCCTAACCTTTGGGTAATGTCAGCCTCTCGTGGAAAGGACACCGGCGGTCTGTGTGACCTTAGTGTGTGGAGTTATCAAAACAAAGATATCTTAAACTCAGTCGTTTTCACATTAAAATGGCGGGCCTAAGGAGATAATTCCTGAAGGCAGTGGTCATAAAAATCTATGTTAACTCCCTCAAGTTTGTGACGGGCATCATGTCATGCCTGTAGAGTGTCTTGTCAGTCTTCTGCATGCCCTTACAAATAAAGTGTTACCATACTTCCTGTAACCTCCAAGGCTTGGCAAAGGAAACTCACGAGCAGAGTAGAAACACTGCGTGTTAGTAATCCACTGCACACAACAGCATGCAGACTTTGCAGCTCTGTGGCCATTCTGCTTTTCCACTCCTTCACAGAGCTATAAAAAAAACTCCTTGGGTCAAACGTCTCCGTTAGTTGCACACGTGAAACAACCACTCCGGCGCTCCGAAGCATCTATTCCGGAGAGTCCCACAGTGACCCCATAGCCCACGCCCCAGAGCGAGGCCGAGATGCAGCACCACACACCATGCAGATGATACCTCTGCAGGGCTATTTCGCCTGCGGCCCGGGGCTGCTCGGCCCCTGTCCCCCTCAGCGCCATCGCCCTCATTCAGCTCCTTCTCCCCCCTCAGCCAGCCCTCCAGCACCGGCCCGCTACTGGGGCTCACGCTGCGCGAGAGGTGCGGGGACGGAGGGGAGAGCAGGAAGTCCTCCCCCTGGGGCGGAGTGAACGTGAGGAAGGGAGTGGTGGAGTTGGGTCTGGGCGGGTGAGGAGGGGGCAGCGGGGAGGCGGAGGGCGAGGCCATGGGAGAGATGTAGTAGGGGCTGCCGGTGATGGGGGGCACGGGGCTGGCAGAGAAGGGCGGGGGCAGGTATTCGCCACAGCGGTAGGACACGGTGGGCAGGGGTGGCAGAGGAGGAGTGGGGGCGGCGGGGGGGCTCCCACCTCCCACGGTCAGGGAGATCCACTCGCTGGAGATAGCGTGAACCTCGGGGGACACGGAGCGGCGGGGGGAGCGGGGGAGAGGCAGGGGGGAGGTGGTCAGACGATTGCGATACAGCTTTTTAGCGCAACCGGGGGATGAAGGCAGAGAGAGGATGAGGAGGGATGAGAGAAGGGGGGAGGGGGAGACCAGTCAAAAAAAGAAAATAATTTAAAAGAGAACATGAGAGAGAGCGGTGACAACAAGAGGTTTGACTAGATAGTGACTTTACAGCCCTATTTAGGCCAAAATGGCTAAATAATGTAGAGTTCCCATCTCGGGCGGTGTCTACCTGAGGGGACGCGTTGGTGCTGCGCTGCGGCGAGTGGCTGACGGGAGGGTCGGGGTACTCCACCCCGTTTTTAACGCGGGGCCGTCTGTGCACTTCCACGTAGGTGACGGGGAAGATGCCCTGCCGATTGGTGCCAGAGATCTTCCCCTCGTACCAGTTCTCGTCCACCCGGCGGATCAGCGTGATCCTCTCCCCCTGAGGAGAGACGGCACCTTCAGAGGACTTGCGGGATGCTTGGGAGGGGGGTGGGGGGCAAAAGGGAGCAGGGATACCAGGAAAATACCACTAAAATATCCAGCTCCACACCTTTTTGAAGGACATTTCCACAACCGTGTCCCCTGCGAAGTTGAAGCGGGCCACAGCTTCTCCGTATTCCAGCACCTGCACCGGGGCGCTCTTCTTTGGCTGAGCTTTCTCAGTTGGCGGAAGGAGCTGCACAGTGACATAAACGACAAAAAAAAAAGAAAAGAAAAAAAAATAACAAAAGAAATATAACAGGGTTATAACAGGTGATTTGGAATCCCTCAAAATAAAAGTGTGAGATGACAAAAAAAAGTTAACATACGGCATCAAGAAACAGATATGCAAGGCACTGGATTTAGAAGAGGGAAGCATAAAGAACAAACCTCAACATAGCTTCGTGGGAAAATGCCCACTCTTCCATGGTGTTCACCTTCATACCAGTTTTGATCAACCTGTCGTATGATATACACTATGTCTCCCTTCTGAAATGGCAGTTCCCTGAAAGATATGTTTCAGAAATGTCAGTGACCTGGAATCAATCATCAATTGATCATTTTCATGCACTGTCTGACAATTTTCACTTACTTCAGCGACTCTGCTCTGAAATCGAAGCGAGCCATGGCTGGAGTTCTCTGTCGAGATTTGAAAAGAAATTTAGGTGATTCTTATTTCATCTGTGCAAACAGAGGTATTACTGCCTGAAATTAAGGCTTCCTAAAATATAACACTTCTAAGTGCCCATGCGTTCTCCATTTGGGTTGTTATTCTCTTTGGGCTTTGCCACTTACGGACCTTTATTATAAGCTGTAAATCTGCGCTGTCTCTGCTGCCCTTCCAGTGTCCGTGAACAGAAATGTTCAAGCTATGGCTGGAATGATGTGCTTGTGACTGGCTGGATTACTTCACCTCTGGAGCATGCTCATTAGGAAGCTCCTGTGAGTTGTTTACCATAAGGCTGTCGGGCTGAATGAGCAGGGAACTGTTCGACAAACCCAGAGAAGCTGCGGCCTAAAGCAGTGAGACTCCATCTACGCGCCACCTGACAAGTAAACAGTGGGACCTGGTCTCAAAAAGTAGATGGTATTTATTCAGTGGCACACCCACCCTGTATTTTGCCTCCACCCTCTCTGGACTCAGAAGAGAGAGCCATCTGTGTGTGCAGCGAGCCTGCTGACAAATGTGTCACACCCCCTCTAACCCCCGGCTCCCGGCCTGACACACAAACTGACAATGCATCTGCCTTCTCTCTTCCTGCTTACACAAGGATAAGACACAGCCCCACATTGTACCTCGAGGCCCGATTTCCTTTTCTCTGCGTTATCTGTGATGTTAAGCAGGTCTCCGAAGCGCTCGTTGGTGATGAACTGGTGGTGCGTGGGGACAATGCTCGTGTGTCGCCTGGATGCTGTGTCAGCCTCTTCCTGTTCCCGCTTTAGCCGCCGCTGCTCCTCCAAGATTTTCTGCCAGGAAACCAGACTGCACTGTTTGTCCACTCGAGATACCAGTCTCCCATATACCGTTTTACTCATGGAAGAAAACCTCTATCATGTACAATACCCACTGTCATCATTTACAGCACAGCTTCCTTTACAATTGATGTGCATATTTCTTAAATAGAGTAGTACAGAAAAGTATTACCTCTTTGTCACCATGACGCCTCCTCAGGACTTCGTCCTGGCTCTCCCCATGAGCTGGGGAGGAGTCTGACAGAAATAAAAAAGGCAATTATGCAGAAAAGTTTTCCCCGACAACTTCAAGTCAAATTCAGAAATAAAGAGCAAAACGTTTCACACATGAGGTAAACTCAATTCAACTGAATCGGAAAAAGACACAGTGACTATAACCATGCATGCTGAAAATGAACACTGGCTTTACGAAACACTTAAAAGATAAACGCACACATAAACAAAACAAAAAAAACTAGATGTATTTCTACATGCACGCAGGGAATGAACAGAATGGCCAAACACGTGTTCATGGAAATTAAATGCAGGAAAGAGGAAACCGATCTACTCTATCTTTGAGATAAAAAAAGAAAATGACTGATGTTTAGGAACCAGCAAGCATTCACTTTACTACAATTCAATTTTCTCCCTTTCCCACCATAGATCTTTCAACCTGTGCCCCGTCTGGGAAAGCCATTAGTGTTTCAGGTTTGTGTCTGAAGCTCAGAAGTACCCTTTATAGGCCAAAGCAGTAAAACGTTCCATCTCAGTAGAATTTAAAGATGGCAGAAGTGTCAGAACACATGAAAGGAAAAACATAAATAAATCACAAAATGAGCAAGTTAAGACATCAGTTTGAGAAAGCGTATGCAGTTTTAAGCCCCCTTATTGTGCTGTTATATGAATGATGATTTCTGGGAATGTATTCTTTTTATAAAAATGTCGAACAATAAACTAAAGGGTCAGGCAATCATTGCAGCTATTGCCCCGACATTACATCATCGAGATGTAATAACCCTAGACACCATGCATACAGCTCAAATCTGATGTCCGGAGAATGTATACTTTACCAAAAGCTTCCTGAACCTCCTACAGTCACTGTAGAGTTCTGAAGGGTTTTTGGGGGCCATGCTCAATCACAATGAAATGGACGAGCACCAAACATCACACTCAGAATGACATGGAGGATTTCCTGGTACTTAAACACACCACACAGACTAGGAATGGAAGGCAGTGGCATTGCTTTGTGGAGGAAAGGGACACGGGGTGAGGATAGATTTGAGATAGATGAGTGACCACAGAGGGAGAGGGTGACAGCGGTGAAGGGATGGAGATAGCCACCTCTGCGGTGAACGGCCAGCGGCTGCAGTAGGTTCCCGTTGGCGTCCAGACCCTGCCCGTTACTCAGGTGGTCTGGGCTGCTCCCTTCCCCGTTACTCAGCCTCTCGAGAACCTCCAGGGAGGAGAGGCGCTGTGGGATCAGGGGCCTGGGCTCAGGTGACAGACTGTAGGGTCTCTGGCTGCCCGGCGTCACCTTGGTGGCCAGCAGTGTCCTTCGGCTTTGGTGCGATTGCAGGTTTTTCCGCAACCTAAAGGGGGCGGGACCCATGAGGAAAAGGTTTCCCGGAGGAGCGGTTCTCTTCTCTGAAGGCGGCGGCCTCTCCTGCTGGGTCGTGGCCTGCTGCCTCTCGTGCCTGAGGATTGTGGTGAACCGGGTGTAGGAGGCTGGGCAGGAGCCTTTGCATTTGCTGGGTTTGAGGTGGAGCGGATGGTTCAGGTGGTGCAGGACATGGTGGTGGTGGTGGTTGTGTGGCGGGGGGAATTCTGTGAACTGCGCCGAAGGACTCTTTGACTCGCTGACACCTGGGTGGAGCGATTCTCGGGAACCTTTGCTGAAGATCTGCTCTACTTCGGCCTCGGTGTTGAAAGGGGACTCGGCCCTGACGGTGTGTCCGTCCTCTGAGGACGCGGCCTCCTCCGCTGTCGTGCTGTCTGGCGACAGGGCCTGCTCCCTGCTGCCTTGGCCCTCCGCCTCCACGAGGGCGCAGGTGTCTGTCTGCGCGGCGCCGCCCACGACGAGGGACTCGGCCGAGACTGCAGAGGCCATGTAGAGGTGGGCCGGACTGTGGTTGGGGCTGTGGCCGGAGTGCAGGGTAGGCAGGGAAGAGGAGCGGCTGGGGGCCGAGCTGGAGCGCTGGATGATCGTTTCAAACTCACTGATCCGCGATGAGACACTGTCGCGGGGAACGTTACACCCGTCGGCCTCTGACCTCTCCCCCTCGGCCTTCGACTTCTCAAACAGGGAGGCCAGGCTGCGGACACTGCCGTGGGGGCTGCAGCCGACCGAGCTGGGCCTCTGGATGTGATGCATGGTCCTGTACAGGCTGGAAAACTCCGAAGCGCTCCGCCTAATTGCAGGGGAGACATTCCTGAGGCCGTCAGCAGACTGGCTGCCGCAGCTGGACTTAGAGTCCGCTGGCTGGCCGCTCTCGCTCTCCTCAGCTCCCGCGCAGTCTGCACCACATGGCCCTGTGTAGAGGTCCTCGCAGCTGTGGGCCTTTGGGTGCCTGGCAGCGTTAGTCCTGCTTTCCTGGCTGTTGCCACTGGGTGGCAGCAGCTTGGGCTTGAATTTAGAGGGCAGGATTTGAGGTATGCAGGCTTTGGCAGCAGATAGAGACTTCTTACTCTTACACTGGTCACCTATTGCATTACTGGCAAGAACCGATCGACTATTTACAGAGGAGCAGGGTGAAATTATATAGCCATTCCCACCTTTATAATCCACTGGCAAGCATGCAGGACAACAGAATAAACAACATATTAGATTACAATGATCACAGGTTTACACACACACACACGCACACACTAAAACAGTTTCCAATTTCTAAGACTGAAAACCCAATTCTATCAAAGGTGGATGAGAAGAAGCGGACTTGATGCACGCTAGCATCAAGTAAAAACGACTGTTGTCATTTTTATCGGGGAATGTATAGTGACGGATTCCCGTCTTATCAATGTAACGGAAACACAAGTTTTAAAAAAAGCAATATATAATGGAATGGTATGTGATGTTGGAGGTTATGCAGGAGTGGTAGGTGCCGTTTTTTGTTAGTGCACAGCGGAAAATATATGAATACATCCGATCTGTATTCTACCTTAGGAGTCAAGGTTTTGCTCCCACAGCATTTACCTCCCACACAAATCTCTTCTACTTTTAACCATTAGGCAGACGGCTGCAGTGGCCTCTGGCAGCGCCGGTAATACACTGTTACACGGCTGTAAACTAAAAATGTATCCTGAGTCACCCGGCCCAGTAAAATATGTCTGTCAGAAAGAAAAACTCATGTTGGTTCCTGGCGAGAGTATGCATGTGACAGCCCTGCAGATGGTACTGGGAAATGACACAACACTTTCACATGCTGCGAGGCGCCTCTGTGGGATGAGTGACCGATCTGTCACATTCATATCTGCCAGGGAAACACACACTAAGGAAGCTGACTGGATATCTTATTTATGCGGCGCATAAAGAGTCCCAATCTCGGCCATTAAAAACTCCTGAGGGAGACTCTCTTTTATGGAAGATTAGAACAGATTTTTATTTATTTATCTTGAGACCACAAGACTGAGACACATGATGAGGTGCTCGGCTTCTTTCAGGCTCGGTTTGTTTTTTTTAGCTTGTGCAAACTTTAACTTCTGTGTCATGACTGGGAAGCAACTCTAATGAACAAGATGGCGCCTTAGGCCTGGCCTCAGAGAAGAAGTGTGCGTTAGAACTAGATTAATCGACTGTGTTACCGGAACTTTAAATCAGATCGGTATTTTTAAGCAGCTTAGCTTAAAAACTAATGACCTAAATGCTCTTCTTTCACAGCGTTTCCAGTTGTACTATTCTGGAAACATGATCAGTTCTTCACTGTAGGGGGATGGATCAATAGTCATATCTGCTGCACGTGTTTCCAAATGTAATGCAGTGATATGTCTCGGATCACAGTGTGCCTTCGTTTCTCTCACTTGCATCTCTTTTTCTTTTCCACCCCCAATGCTTCTCTCCCTGGCCATGTGCGCAAGCATTCCAGCCCCTGACCTCACACTGACAGCTGACTTCCTCATGCCTGCCCACCCTCTGTGGCCCTACTGTTTATCTCCACCTCGTCTGGCTGGGATGTGAAGAGCGCGGCTCTGTTTATCTCGCTCGTACCTCCTCATCCGTGCCCCCACTGGCCCTCCACTCCCTGGCGCTAGAACACTCTGGAGTCTTGCCCTAAGCCTGCCTGGCGACTGGCAACTCACAACTGGAGCAAGAGGAGGGGTGGGGGGGTCGGGGCGCCGAAATCTCCAAGGTTAGCTCCCATCGACTTAACAAGACAGCCTCCCTCCCTCCGTGAGTTTCCAAAGCAGATGGCTGCGAGACGTTTGATGAAAAGGTCCGTGACATCAATAACAATTGGAAAGCTGCGGGGGGGATGAATGCTGTGAGGTGATTGGCCAGTGCCGCGAGGTGCGGGAGCCAAAGGAAAAAATGTGCGAATTCCAACAGAAAGGTAAACAAAAACACATGTGTCCCTCTCTGAAGTTTTTTTAACAGTCCAACATCAGTGTGTGGGGCTTGACTTTGTCTCACCACGAAAGACCTTTACCGGCCTGCTGCGCAGTCTATCACACCCACAGACATAAACAACCACACCTGAGTTTTATTGGGCTGTGCGTGTAACAAAGATCACGCTATACCTTTAGAAGAGGATGAGCTGCCTTGGCGCTTGTTTAGGGCTCGTAGACCTTGCAGGGGAATGTCGCCGCCCTCCAGGACACTCTTGTAAACATGTCGGTCGCATTCTTGAGCCGGAGGCTCGCTCGAGGATGATCCTCTGTCCTTCTCCACCTCGCTGTGACCAGACTTGCTCGAGGAGCTATGACCACAAAGGAGAGAGGAGCGGCCGGTTAATTAAAAACGGCCAGACTCAGAGTAGCTTTGGAGCATGTTTTCATGATAAACAGAGACACACAGATCGGGTAATGAGCTGTCATATGGTTCTTATTTAGCATATCTTGAGGTAATTCCTGTTTTTGCAGACTTGTGGGAAACACAATGATGAGTGTCAGGGAAAGCCACACTGAAGAGAGAATGTGCAGAATTAGGAGGCAGATATTTAGAGAAGACACTGGCTAAAGCAGATATCTTGGGATTCCAGAGAGGCCAATAGTACAGATTTCTATAAATATTCCCTCAACGGTTCCCAAGTGATGCATCAGCCCCTGCTGCCATGCACCTGTATAAGTCTCAGCTCTGCTCTCTTTCACATGCGGTCATGTGCTGCTCACGCTGCCCCTCTCTTTGTACTAGCAAACATATTCATTATACTGGCTCAGGCTCCAGAAGCCCCTAGAAAAAAACAAACAGACACACACCGTTTTTTTCAGGTGTTATGGAAAAAGAGGAGCAGATTTTCCAGACCGTGTTCAACATCTGCGGTATTGCCGAGTCAGAGATTTACAAGCTAGCACAAACATATGGATACATCACTGTCCTCATTCACTTCCTCAACAGGAGCCTCTTTCATAGCTGGTAGAAAAATATGTGCACTGCTGGCTGTTGAGATCTGTTTCAATCGGGGCTAGCTCTGGGTTGATTTCAAGAACTCACATAAATACTCTGCAGGAAATGCACGACCCAGAAGCCATGGAAGACTAAAACAATCTTCTCGGAAAGTTCTAGTGAAGCCAAACGCCAGTGCGATACCTGAGTAGCACTGGAAGCGCTTCTCGCCACTTAAGAGCAATGTTTATATATCTGGAGTGATGAGGCATTCCTTTAAATGTCAGTAACCCGGTTCTTCTGCATCATGCTGACAGCTCATGTTGTGACATGTGATTATTTATATCAACCTTCCAACTCCAACAGTATCTTTTAGAAAAAAACATCCTTTTTTCCACGTTATTACACATGGCTCCACACATATTAAACATTCAATTTCATAACTTCTGGATTTGAAATCGAATATGATCTCTCCAGAGAAGGAAAAAAAAACAGCCTGTCATGGACATTTGAGCCTTGAAGGGAAGTCAGTTTATGAGTAGAGGTTTCCTTTGAAAACTTTTGGGTGAGTGAAACTCCGGCACCCTTTAATCAAGGACTTCTTCCTTTCAAATTACCAACAAATCAACAGATCAAAAGGGCTGGATTGGGAATCTCTTGACTTTGATACCTAGCCCTGATGACATAATGACGGTAGCAGATGGAGAGCAGAGCCGAACAGAGAAGCGTGAGACAGTTCCCATTGCTTGCTCCTAAATTCCTTGCATTTTATTGCACATACAAAAATAGGCGCTGTCAGTCTCAGCGCAGAGAAACAAAAAGCTCAAAGGCTGGGCAAGGTTCGCTTTAATCTGCGGGGGCATCATCTTTCGCAATCCAGTTGCCGGACATAGATCTGCAGCTGCACGTTCAGCGGGAGATAACGGTTTTTTAAAGTTAGGCAGCAGCCGGGTGAATTCCCTCTATCCCAGTGACATCCAGGTTCCTGTCTTTAAATAAATCCCCACATAGCAGCCATGTCACCCCACTACTACCACCCCCCCTAAAAAAAATTTAAATGAAGACAGAGGACAGTCTGTTCTGGAAGCGTTTTACTTCATTAACAGGATCTCCTCAGGAAACAGGAGTCCCCTGCCGCTGTAGGCGGGCGAGCTTTGTGGGCTGGAAAAAAAAAATCGGCCATTGACATTTATCCCCATAACAATCCTGAAAAAACAAACCAACTACATACGGGGAGGATGAGGCAAAATTCAAATCACAAGGAGTCAAATAAGAAGAAGCGTGGACTTACTACGGGTGCAGGTCGGAGGAGGTTTCCAGGGGGCTGAAGGAGGGGGCACTCTGCAACAAACCAAACAAAGAAGTCATTGATAGATCCACAGGAAGGTCTCCTCCAGCTAGAACAGAGGCATCAGCATTAGCCAGAGCCAGATTCTTTCTTCTTTTCTTCTCCTATCGCTGTCTTGCTGCTGTGGGTTTGTGTGACGAGCACTCGGTCTTGTGAGCTTCTCTGGACTGGGCGCTGGCATGAAGTGGTAAGCGTGTGTTTTGGCCTGCATGCAAGTTGGAGAAAACAAGCGGCAGTAAAGAGAGTTGAAGGAGGGGAGGGTGGGTGGGTGGGGGGGAGAGGGAGGGAGGGAGGGGGTGGTGGGCGGGCGTGCATCGGTCAGGGGGCGCCCATGCGGGGAGGGGGCTGTCACTGGCTCAGCCAATGGGTGGCTGTCTCTCAGTAAAGCCATCTCTTTTGTCTGGTATTGAGTCACTCTCATTACCAGCGGACCCAGACCAGGAGACAATTAACCAGCTGGTGGTGCAAGGAGGCCAAATTACACACACACGCTCTCCCTCTCTCTCTCACACACACACACACGCACGTACGTCGAAGCAAATACAAATGCTTAGTGACAGAGTATAGACAGTGAAACACCTCTACTCAAGAATAAGATAATAATAAGAATGTTATACAGAAAAAAACATCTGGTAAACTGTGAGAACAGAGTGAGTTTAATGGTGATAATAGGACGGTAAGGAGTAAGTCTAGCTGTTATTTAATAGCCAAGACAATGCACGAGGGGGGGGGGGGGGCGGGTGGTCATTCATTCAGCTTCCACCAGCATTTTGAATGGTTTAATGCCAACTAATTTTAGCCCGCTGTTTCTGTTGCTTTCCTCTTTCCGGACGTCACAGCAGGTAAAAATAACGGACGTGACACGGGCACTATGAATAAGAGCACAAGTGTTGTTTGCAAATACGATTGCACAATCCCCACCTCAGCCAGCGAGGGCCCTGCTACTAATACCAGGTCCACTTCCCCACGGCACGGCCAAGCCTCCGCTTCCCACACCAATGACCAGACAGGGAACATTCTGGACAGCTCATTTGCCACAACATGCCTTTCCACTTAGTTGCCGGGGCAGAGTGATCATTAATAACCGTTCAGAATAAGTGCCTATCTTTGTAGGAGCAGAACATCAGGCTGGCAGGTCTATAGTCGGATCTATTTATAAAGCCAAATGTTCCATGGCGACTGGGAGAAGACACCAGTGTCATTGAACAATCTACCGCTCTTCTTTCTTCGCCACGTCTTGTATCCCCCCTCAGATCTCTTATCAGGGGAAAAGATAGTGTCGTCTGACACCCCTGGGTTATTGGGCTTACACACACACACACACACACACACAAACACACACACAGCATCAGTGGAAAGTAAACAGGAAACAATCATGGACGGCTTATCTGGTGTAAAGGAATGGAATCCTAATCTAGTTATTTCCAAGATGCCCGATTAGTGTCATTATGCAAACTTTCCTCTATCTAAAGGGGTAAAACAGCACAGTTTCTGATTCAGACAAGTCCGGTAAAACTATCGGCAGACATTGCAATAACCATAATGGGCTGTTTGGCAACATGGAAGTGTAATAACCTGTTTGACATATGAGGCACAAGTGCCCAGAAAGGATGACTAGGTGCTTAAAGCTGCTCTGAAGCTGTATATGGCCATGAGTGAGGGCCTCCGCCGCACACCGATGACAACGTTTCTGCAGAATTTCATGTGCATGTTTCCTAACAGGTGCACGCGGCCACTCAGAGCTCAGACTCCTGAATGCCGCTTTCATAGTCAAAATAGCAATCATGAGTGGGTCATGGTAACATGAATCCCATTCTTTCCAGAACCTTATTTGTGTTGATACGTTCTTATGAAAACAAAACAGCACCCCCAGCGCGAGAGGCCTGTTGCTGCCATGTGCAGCCTTCATCCTTCCCTCCGTTAAATGCTTAAAGGTAAAGGTTAAGTGTATAACAGAGGTTAAATATGAGCGCACAATGAGCTGGCAGGCTTACAGAGTTGCCCCCTTTAGAATATGTCAGGTGGTAGGGGGACGCTCCCCGAGTAACTCAGCACTGAGACAGTGTGGCAGCAGCCCCCCACGTCAGCATATGCTTGACAGATGGAGTCACTCTGGCGGTTGTAGGGGGCCAAAGTGCTCTTCCTGACCATAAATATGTGTGGAATTCCAGCTCCAGATTGCTATGTATATCGATGAGCTAGCGTTTGACTCTAACTGCGTTCGGATGTGTTTTTCAGACTTCTCTTGAACCTTTAACTTACTTATAATAATCAGCAGGACTAGTACTTTGATTAGGTGGAGGGTTCTCTTTAACTCTTGGGCTATTATCTGACCAGAAGTGGCCTCTAGTGGACAACTAATGACGATCGGAGAAGCCCAAATGAAGAAGAAACATATCTTATTAACAGTAAAGCTGTTCAGGCAGACTGAGATTAAAGGAAATCCCGATTATCCTCCGAGACGTTTCCTTTCCTTCTTACACGTTATTAGCGGAGCGGTTTCCTCATTACAACTGAAGGTGTGAAGGAACAAAATGAAGACTTGGGAAGACCGAGAAGGTCCCTCGTGTAACAACAGTTTCTTGAGACTCTGAGTCATAATCTCTCCTCCGCTACGAAGCAAGTACTGATCCGTCAATCAAACTCCAATGAGCCGCTGTGTCTGGCTGAGCCTTAAGGTCAAATACCGCACATACCAGGTGCAGCTTTAGAAGTGACTTTGACATTAAACAGGAGCCAGTCATCAAACCCAGCTCGTCTGGCAAGCGTCCAGGCTAGCATGAAACAGGGTCGGCTCCGGGGACCGAAGCTCCTTTGCACATGCATTAACCCGGAGCATAAGCGTCTGCCTCCCTTTCCGGAAGATGCTAGGGACAAGACCTCATGCCGTGGCCAGCGGTGCCACCTCATGTGATCCAGGGTGTGGCCCTGACTGACAGAATCCACATCTGTTGGTGGGCGGCTCGCGCCACACTTGTCTGCTGCCAGCCAAGGCACGGATTTGTCACATCACGGCACACCGCTTCATGTCTGCACCCTTTGGATATCTTGGTAAATATAACAGATCGTGCAGCAGACAGACGGCAATTATTATTTCAAGTGCCTGGGATTATCCTGAGCCCGATGCTCGCGCGGACTGCAGCCTCTCCAAGTGAGGAGTGACTTCTGAATGAATCATTCGATCCAATCCTCCAGCTCATGATATGTATTTTAGACGTGCGGATGCACACCAAAGGAAGACGGAGTGTTTGTTTGGGGTGTTGAGTCCGAGACATGGTTTTTGTGTCGCCTCGATGACTGAGCTGGCTAAGGTTCACGGACCCAAAGAAAATGCTGAGAAATGCTGTTTGAGGGAACAAAAATAAACTCTCACTGACTGTTTTAAACACCACTGTGCACACCATCGTCCTAAACTGTTTGAAGTGGTTAAGCTGAATGGTGAAAGGCGGCTTCAGTTGCTATGAAAAAGGGGGCAGCATTCACCGTTATTTGCATGGACAGTACTGTGCAAATGTCACAACTTCTGAAAGCCATTTTGTGCAATAGTTCTCCAGACTTTCATGAGGTCTTTAGATGTTTTTCTTGAAACACTTTCCATTTTTCACTACTTTTCAGACCAGTCTTTCATGTCTTTTTCTACTGTATATCACACCACTTAACAATAATTTGAAAATAAAAAATGGCCCATTTAAGACTTTGTAAGAAGGAGCGTGCCACGAAGACACATAGCTACTTTATGTCTTTTAATTTGGGTTTGCAAATATTGCCATAAATGACACATTTTGTAACAACTGCGTCATTAATTTGGAGACTTTAGATGGCATATGCCATCATAGTTTTTTCCCTAAAAAATTTGAAAACCGGAGTGTAAGACAGAAAACAAAGGGACAAGGAAAAACAAATCAAACAAAACATGTGCTACTGCACATGTACTATGTTTGAAATAGATGTCCATGAAAAGGACAGCTGTCAATAAGACCTTATGAAAGAAGAAGGAACAGGGAGAAAAAAATCGAGGTATGCCAAATGGCACAAGAATGGAAGAGATACTCCTCCCCAGAGCCCGGACCTTAACACTATTGAAGCAGTGTGGGATCAGCCTGACAGAAAATGGAACAAAAGGCAACAATCCAGAGGAGATCTTTGGAATGCCCTGGAGAACTATGCCAGAGGACATCATAGAAAACAACAAAAAAGCATGTCTAAGTGGGTTCAGGCTGTGTTGAGTTTTTCAGCTTAGATGCTGACTTTAATTTGAACTATGCACACATCTTTAAAAGAAGAATGTCCTATGTTGCGTTTTTCTGAAAATTTTTTCTGAGAAATCAAGGTTGTCCCAAAGACCTTTGCACAGTACGGAGCACTGAACGCGGGTTGGTATTTCAGAAAAATATGACAGACTGCGATGAGAGGCAGATGAAAGTTGCTGAGCGGTATGTCTCATTGAGCCATGTCGATGGGACACAAAATGGGCATTTCAAGTTTTTCAAATAAAATAAATAATTCATTACATTTACTGTAAGTGAATGGTGGGGGTGGGGAGGAGACTGAAGCAGTCCTCACAGACAAGACGGTTTGTTTAGAGATTATTTCGACATGGATGTTATGACATGCAATAAATGAGGATATGCTGTCAGACTGCAGACAGCGACCACTTACCGCTTTGTCAAACTCCATCTCTGAAAAGAATTTATACCAAGGCTCATTCTCTATATCTACATCTTCTGGACTTACATCCTGAGTCTAGGGGGCATGGCGACAAGAAGAGGAGGAGAAAGACAAAGAGAAGACAGTTCAGACAGCACAGCATTTACACAACATGGTAATGAGCCAGTCAGACATTGTGGACTGAGGTTCTACCAAAAGAAAAAATGAAATCTGCAAAAAGGCAGCCAAAATATAATCTGAGCGGATATTTATTTGCTTTCTTGCACACAGTAGGATAAGACTGATGCATCTGCCAGCGTCTGATTAACAAAGCTTAGCATAAAAACTGGGGGGAAAAGGGGGAGCCAGCGAGACTGGATCTCTCCAACAGTAACAGATTTTGCTTGCCAGAACCTCTTAGACTCACTAAATAAAACGTGTTATCTCATTTGTCTTCTTATCGGTGTCAGGTTTGCCAGGCAACCAGTTGAGACTCCAGGAAGTCACTGCTCCCAGCCAAATAATGAACAGGCTTTAAGCTGTGGGTTTTGCTCCAATGCTACAGTTTTTGTGCAGATCAAATACACAAAATCAAATATGTGAGTCACACAGGCTTTTGATTAATCCCAGTCTTTATGCTAAGATAAGATCTTTTTTGCTGAATATTAACAAAGTCCTTCAAACTCGACACAAACAAAGTAACTGTTTCTCCTGCCCACACAGACACCTTCCACTGCAGCTTATTAAGGGGAAATGGTTTGATCAGATATAAAGGGGGTGTTTTACACTTAAAAAAAGAAAACCCTATCATATTGGAAGATCCTCACTCATGCTGAGTGCTGAAAAGCGACATTAACCTCCATTATACTTCTGATTACAATCGCCCATCTCTTCCAACATAAGTATGTATTAGTGGATTTCTCTGCAGCCAGTTTGGGCAGGAGAAACGTTTCTGTTACTTTCAAAAAGAAAACTTGAAACAGATATTAAACTAACCCTAAAAGTACAAAGTACACTCATTAAACAGCTGTGTGCACGTCATATTATCTTAATTTTCTATCAACAAATTTACAGATGACCACAACATGCATAACTTATTCAATGTTTATGCATATAATGAATATATCCCTAAAAATAAAGCAAGAAACAAATCATAGAATGAACTAAACTTAACATGCAGCATGAGTTGGGTTGTGTCTTTGACGTGCCTTTGCTTTGACCAAATTATTTTTTGTATTATGTAAATCAAATTCAGTTGAACTGAATGGAATAGCGGATGCTGCTCCGTAATAGCTGAGCCTGTAAATGAAGAACAACAGAGCCCTTCAATTCAGAGCAGTCCAAAAACAAACTGGAGCGGACCTTAATGAGCACTGGTGGCCGGGACTGGGATCAGGCCAGATCTCAGAAAGCAGCTAGCTTCATGCTAAGTGGCATCAAACAAGCAGGGATTATATAACCACCTATCTTCTATTCAATAAGGATGACAACTGTGTTTTGATTATATAGGAAAAATGAACATCACTTGAAAGCCTTTAAATCGAAATAAAATACAGCCCTCGAGGATTCCTGATCATTTCATTCATCCTCAGCTGCCTGGTACAGCGATGTGAGTGTGCACACACACGCTTCCTCCAAAGACGGCACGCCACATCCACGCTTTGTGTCTGTGCCGGGTGCCCCTGGAGGCGAACCGATCCAGCCCAATAACCTTAAATTGAAGACAGCGAGACAACAGCTATCCTGGTAAGCGATACCCTCCCTGCCCCGCTTCCGAGCGGGATCGTCTGTCCCTGCGATAGGACACCATTCAGGAATGTGGCGGCGGCACACGCGTCGCCTCCCGAGCTGTTAGAGATGCAGCCACCGGGGGAGCTTAGGCAGAGAGGAGGTGATGGGGTGGGGGGGGGGGGGGGGGGGGGGATGGGCGGGATGGGGGGGAGGGGGCAGAGCATGCCCAGAGAAAGACCGAGAGAGAGGAGGGAGAGGGGGGGGGGGGGGGGGGGGGGGGGGGGGGGGGGGCAGGCGGCGGGCGTACCGTTCTCTCCAGCTTCAGCACTGATGATTTCCCCGGCTCGTACTCAAAGATGCTCCTGGGCTCAGCGCGGTACTTCCTGGTGTCTACCTTTTTATCCGGGGGCTCCCACTCGTTCCTGTGGAGGGGGGCGGGCGTCAGGGAGGGGGGTTGGGGTGTGGGATCGAAGAGAGACGGTCCTTATCAAATGGTCTCCATGGCAACCGGCATCGGCTGAGATGTGCGTGTATTTAGTTTTGTTTTTATTTTGTTTGTTTTTTTCAAATTTAAATGCAACATTCACACTCATCACGCCTGCCCCCCCCTCTATGCGTATGTCTCCGTCTTCTAATGATGATACGACAGAAAATCCAATTCTCGGTTGGGGCCATAAGCCATAATTTGATCAAGTAAACAAGATTGAGACAAGAAACAGAGCGCAGCATTTCCGGAGAGAATTTCTTAAAAGACTATCAACACTGAAATCACTCCTCAACCAACCAGAACAGCCTGTCTCTAACTGACTCTTATGGCAAAAAAAAAAAAGAAATAAACAGATTCCCTTTGAAAAGCTGCACATTTCAGTCACCTTGATAAAGACGTGTTTGGGAAGGCGGCGCCACAGAGCAAGGTCAGTCCTCAACATGTCATCGGCAGCTTTTGTGGGCAGCAGTTTATCCTCTTTCACCTGTCCCTCTTTATCACTCTATCATTCATTTTCTTTGAGGGATGATCAGCCTCTGTCAGTGCCGACATGTGTGTGGGTGCGTGTGGAGGGCTCAGACTAATCAGATATCAACTAAATGCTGGAGGACACAGCACTGAAAGCCTCTGGAAGCAAAGTAACTGGATAAAATGGAGCAGCTTTTACTTTGATAGCTCGTGAGACATTAGAGACATTAATGTGGATGCTGATTTTATCATTACAGCAGCATATGGGAACACTGCCTGCTAACAGAATCAGATAGAAACTGGGCTCTAATGATCAGAAATGTCTTCTAAATAACAAAATTGTATATCTAAATATATGAAAGTTTTTGTGGACATAAAGAGTTCCTTCCTTTACTCACAAACAATAAAACTTAAATCATAATGAGCATCATAGGTAGCAGATGAAAGATACTGACATTTTGGCGGAGGGTTTGAGGGAAGAGGAGCGCGTTGGCACCGGCATCGACCTGCCCCTCGAATCAACCTCATCGTTGCTTTTGGAGCGCGGGACTGCTTTTACTGGAAAACATAAACAAAGAAATAGCCGATCAACTGATGTGCTTCAAGACAAAAAGCTTCAACTGAGTCCAGTTTCCATGACTCACCATCTTCCAGGTAGCCAAAAGGGGTAGGAGCACCTTCTGAAAAAGGAATAGACAAACCATCACCAAATATTAAATGTGCTTATTTTTTGTCTCATTCAGCAGCACAATGCTAAATAATTCAAAGGACATTAAGTCTTGCACTTTTTTTTTTTACACCTTCCCTCACACCTTCCATTAGCCAAAGCATCACAGATACACCAAACACAATCAGCATGTGTCAAATCACAGCACTTTACTGGAAGCATTACGGAGCTAAAACGGTATCCAAACATCAGAGAGCATCAAGGCTTTCAATCAGCCACAGGGCCAAAGTGCCACACTAAGAGTGGTCTCTCCATCCTTTTCTGTAAGATAACATTCAAAGGATCATAACAGGCACAGCCGCTCATGATTAATATTTCATTTACACTCAGCTTTAAAAAAAGAGATTAATAATCCCAAATATGATTATCAACACAATTTTTCCTGCTTCTATAAACAAATTGAACCACTCTACCAAAAACATCAGATCCAAAACCGGAGCCACAAAGCTAGTGCTGTGAACAATCTAACCCCAAAACAGATTAAAGACGTTTTACAGAAGAAGAAACGAATGTAGGTTGCATCAAAGACATGTTTTGCATGCTGCTGCATCTCTGTGGAGAATGGCACACGACTACAATGCAGCACTACACCGCCACCTACTGGTGACCAAAGCACACTGCTGCCAGGGAACAGAAAAAGGCAGAGGTCTACAGTACAGTTGTGAGAAAAAGCATCTGTATATCAACCAATGACGACAAGAGTCAGATGGTATAAATGACTAATGGTTAAAGGTGTAAAAATGGGTTCAGGAAAGTAAAATGAGGAAAATGAGAATTAAAGGCTTGTAATCTCTATCATAATGCACTCCTGTATCCCCTTCTTCAAAATTTTGCTTGTGCAAATAAGCTTGTTCCGAGCCATATATGATAAAAGACTATGCTTCTATAGCCGAGACAATATTGTGGAATATTTTAAGAAGGATTGGAATCTTTCCACAAGGTTGGTTCTGACCTGAAGGTTAAAACTGAAGAAGTTTTCATCACCCCTAGAGCTGTACATGTATTTTTAAAAGGTAAGCCATCAATCTGTGTTTAAACTCTCTCAAAACCATTCTGTAATAATGACATCACGAGGGTCATGCAACTAACACGTTTAGCATTCTGTAGGCTCCAAGCTTTAATAATTAAACAGGTAATGACATAATTGAGTATTACAAGGCTTGGTTTTACATGGACATGGATATATTGCTTCTCTTACCACACTCATGAACTCAAAACAGTTCTACCTAATGCACGGTTTTCTATTTCTATTTCTATTCTACATAGGTGTCATATTCCTCTCTGTCCATGCCCTTTGTGGTCCCCAATCCTACCAAGTAATCCTAACAGTTTAACTGGCATTGGGTGGGGGACCGCGATTGGGCCATAGTCCAGTGAGATTTATACAGGCCAAGGTCCACATCCATGTGGATAAATGACTCAGCTGAAGCATCTCTGAAAGGGTTAGGTTTGTAGGGAACATCTGATGAGTGTCTCCCGGGGCAGTTTTTGGACAAACTGACGACAGGGTGTGTAGCAATGTGCTCAAACAAGACATCAGACGCTTAAGGATGTGCTGCTAATGTCTCAGTGGCAAGTACCACAATGTAGAGTTCAGCTGCTGAAAAGCTAAAGCAAATTTACAGTTTTCTATCTACTTGAACTGTGACACGTCTAAATGTGTTTGAATAAACTCCCTTTAAATCTGCACACATGGTAAAAGTGGCTCTTTCAAGTCGTTTAGGAAAGTATGTTCAGCATCATTAATATGCTTTTCCTGATGCTGCAAGATTTGAAAAGAGTTATTATTATTTGTGAGGGTGGATGCAGATTAGTCAAGCCTACGAGAGCAAAGTTACTGACATCATATACCTTTGGATTTCATGTGCATGTCATAGTTCTCAGGGAAAATGTAGGTGGGGCGGTATGGGTTTTCCTCAATAGGCTCTGAACACAGTGATGAAGAAACAGAGGACAGTGTGACACAACAGAGAAACACAAACAAAGCACAAACCAAAAAAACTAAACAAACCCACAAGTTTCTTTGACACCAGCAGAGAAACAGCCACAAAAAAACTAAACAAAATGGACTCACCGGGTAGCCTGTGTATCTGTTTGAACATTGTCTTATACCAGTCTTTGGGCTTTTCAGTGTTCTGCAATGACATTTTGAAAATGATAAATCATTAATAGGGAACCACTATTTCAGCTAAAAGCTTCCCATTCGGACCTATAAGACCCAAAGTTCTGGCATCGTTTGTGTGAGCAAATGATGTTTTCATTTTTAATTTTTTTTGCTTTTCACCTACAGGTCCAAAATATCTGTCTTACTGCCAATACAAGGACAAAGGTATGAAAACGGGCCATTCCAATGTCTGTGATGTTTCTTATGTTAATGATTCCTCTTCTAGCAGCAGATAAAAGACCAATCCACCACATAAACAAAACAGTCATTAAACATTAAGCATAGTGAGCTGACTGGTCTTCATTAGACAGTTGGTTTTGTTCGCTCACCCGCACAGGCACAATGGGCTTGTTGAGAGGACTGAGGACAGGGGAGTGCAGTGATAGCCGCAGCCTCTTCCCGTCCATATCAGGGACCGGGCTCGCACAGTCTCTCCCAGCCTCTGGGCTTTTATCCCTTTCTGGAGCTGGCCCTGCAAATCGCAACGTCAAGATGTAACTCAGGCCAAACTCAAAGTTCCTCAAAGTTCAAAGGTCATGTCCATTGAGATTTCTGAGGTGTCGCTTTATATCAAGCACTGAAGATGAGAATACAAACACATGTGGGACACAAAAATGAAAACTAATTTTTTGGTGGCATTCTTTTAACGTGACATAGCAGGGAAAACATTAATAACTGCTGAGCAGAAGGGCTAACAGTCAAGTGACAACACACGGGTTGTTTTATGGTTTCACACAACGGGCTCAAACCTGCTGCCTCATGGGGTAACGTTTTTCTACACGTGTCCTCCAATCTTGGATGTGTGTCAACGGGTGTGCAACATTGCAGAAGGGTTCCCGTGACAGTTACTGTCGTCAGAATTTGCACACGCACATGAGGAAACTCAGCCTCCGATTTCTCTTGCCTTGGCTGGCTCGTTCACAGACTTGTGACAAATACCCTTTTCAGTGGACGCTGTTGTGTCCACGCATTCCAAGCAGGTACCATATTGAGGACTGCTCTGCATCTGTGTGATGCTCTGTATTTGTCACGCGGGACAAATAGACTGCACGTGACCAAAGTTTAAAAAACAAATAAAAAGTGACTCATCCTCATCACTGCGTCTGTTTTAAATGCATAAAGCGGAACATGACAGCAGAGGCGGGAAATAGGATCCATTAGAAAAGGATTTTTGTTTTTGCTGGAGTCATTAAGGGCTGCTCCTGGAAATACAGTGCAATAAAGGGGGGGGGGGGATCTAAAATAACTGTTCACGAGCAAAACCCAAATGCGTACCTGCCAAAGGAGAGAGATGCTTTTGCTGCTCTGTGGTGAGAGAAAGACAGACAAGGATATGGTGGTGACATAGGACCAAGCAGAGAGGCAAAAGTGTGAAAGCACATTGTTATACTGTAGGCTCCACAGACGGAAACGATGCAGATGGATTTGACACACGTTATTAGGACCTAGTGAACAACATCACAAATCTGGGCAGGAAAAAAAAGCGCTCACCTCTGTTGTGCTGCAGCAGGACTATGGTGGGGTTTACTGTGCTTGTACGGGGGTAACCGAAGCTGGGGGCAGACGGGAGGCAGCTCTGGATGTCCGTCGAGGGTAGCGCTTGGTTTTCATTTACTCTGTTGGGTAAACTGGCCTAAAAGTAGCAGAAATAAACAACAAAACACCGAGACGAATCGCTGCGTCAGATTTAAAAGATGCCAAACCCGAAATGAAAAATATCACACCGGTCTCATTATTGGGACGTTCATGAGCCACGCAAAAGAACTGTCTGGAGGTAAACATACCTGGCACTGAGTGCTGTTTTCGGGGGGTAGATAAGCTGTTGTGTTGATGCTTCCCTCAGCCAGTCCTGCTTCTCCATTAATCTGGCTTGACCAGCCACCTGAAAAGAGTCCAGAACCTTCTTAGTCAAACGGCCAGTGCGGAAAGAAGCAAAACAATGAGGGCGATACTAAAATGTGCAGTAATTCTGTAAACTCATAACAGTTAACCATAACAGACGATTCCTGTTCCAGTGAATCTCCATTTCATTCAGCTGGGTGAGTGCTTTCTTTGGTGGTTTCCGCGCACAGGGTTGTTAATATCCCCAGAAAAGGGAAAAAAACAGGATTCTCCCACAATCTCTGAACTTTGTCATGAGAACAAAAAGCCTATTCACTGAGCTGCAAAGATCGTTTGTTCCAATGGCCTTTCTTATTCAGGCCCGGCAACAATTAAAGCATCTCCCCAACAGCACTGGCCGGCCTCCAGCCCGGTTCCAGAGTGCTCTAAGTAACAAACAAGCCCACAGTCAAGGCCGCAGGGTCCAAAGTGCAGCGTGGGCGGGCTGCGACAAAGGAGCTTTTTGACACTTGCATGGAAATATGAGCAATCGTCCCTTATCATGAGGCCGAGTATGTCCAGCAACTCAGCGCACACTTCAAAATGCGAGGAGTTATATAATCCTAACATCAGAAACCACTCCGAAAGGAATGTGTGGAATTTTTTACAACTAAATAACATGATGAAATGCCTCTTAAAAATTACATCAACAATGACATCCTCAGTTCACATTTAACAAAGACATGTCAGGTTTTTTCTCTTCAACAAGGCCCCGCAATTATTACAGCCCTCTAAATATTATTTCATCATGTGGAGGGTTCTTATGAGTCAGACGGGGCACTGGCGCAGACTTACTTGGAGCTGTGATGACGCTCGGCTTTTCGCTGACGCAGTCCTCATCGTCTATGTGCACGAGGGTGGCCCGTAGAGTCACGACTCCTTTCCCTTTGCACACTCTGCTGGGGTCCAAATCTGAAGACGGTTAAAAGTCAGAATCTTGTCTGCACAGCCGTCGTGTAATAAGCGGTGGTTTCACTCCTGGATGTCACATTCTGAGCGGTACGCTCTCGCTTTCGAGCTGTTGGGAATTCACGTTATTGCCACCTCTTGGCCCAAATGACTGAAAATAGAACTGTAGCATCGAAACCAGGCCATGAAATTAATATCCTATAGCCTGTAAAAACCCAATTTACCACGCTCACTTTTAGAGAAAGTAGACCAGTTGAGGATTCTCATGCCATTTAAGACAAATACAAAAATCACCTACATGTTGGTTATAAGTAACGGCGCTGATGAGTTAGAGCCTCTTTTCATTTCTCTTTGTGAGGATGACTTGTTTCACGGTCGTAGGTGTTAAAAAATGCACGAGGTGGCTGGAAACAATACCTGCTGTGGGAATCAGGTCAGGAGAGCCTTTCATGGTTTTCAGAGGCGTGATCCTGACGGCGCACACTGCTCGAGGGCCTGATTCTAAAAAACACAATCAGACAAGTGACATCTCCCTTGAAATAAAATCTAACTGTGCATCACTTGTGTAACTTCTCCTACTCTTTACAGCAAATCAAATCTAAATATCTAACAGCATGGCTGTAATAAATTTGACATAAACTGATACAGTTAAATCCCACAGGGATTGAGATCAGACTTACTGGGAGTTGGCCTTGTGCTGCCCTCTGCTGGAGAGCCCTGGAATATAAGCACAAGGGAAGCAATCAACTCAGTGATAGATAGATAGATAGATAGATAGATAGATAGATAGATAGATAGATAGATAGATAGATAGATAGATAGATAGCATCACCTGCGGGCTTTTTGGGAGACATCGTGATGTGTTTTTTTTACATATTTAACTATCACAGAAAGAGATTTTGTCATCAAACACCTTTTTCTTTTCTTATGTATTCTCTTAATTTCGTACGGGTGCTCATCCACACTTTACATAGGCTACAAAAAAAAAGCTACAGATGTATTTCCTTTTAAGGTCTACAGGGAGATCGAACAAACAAGGTAATCTAAGAGCTATCAGAGCAGTTCCAAGGCCACCAGAAAAGTAGCTGAGAACTTCTTCCCACTGCTCGGCTGGGCCTCCCATTGAGCTCAGCCAGCCCAGCTGATTTAGTGCCTGTCCCCATTTAAAACGCCAGGAAGCAGGCCAATAGAATCAAACGGGCCGATCCAAACCCCTCTCAAAAGACACTGGGTGTAGACACTTGTGCATACACACACATGCACAGTTTTTGTTTTTCACTTGTAACCTGTGAATGATGGTGCTGAAAAGTACAAACAGCCCAAAGCTACTGAATACGGTTCACACAGACTGCTCTGAACTTTTGTGGGACTATGTCTGTGACATGTTTACAACTTGCGGTAAATAAGCTAACCTGCAGAATAGGGTGGGGACTGATGTTCCAGCTGGAGCCCTCCACAAACAGGACCTAATGGATGAGGGGGAAAAATCGGAGCGATTCTAAACGACTCTCAAGGGCACGCCAAGCTAAAACCTTTTAAACGTTTTCCAGTCTCTTCGCTGAGCTGTCCCTGAGCATCAGTGACTGTGTATTTATTTTTCCTCCGTCTAATAAAATCAACTGGCTTCCTGACCCCCAGCATCCCAGAGAGGATGAGATCCGTGATCTCATTCCCAAAACTATTAAGAGGCATTCCTTTTAGAAGTGCTCGGGCTGTATCTGAACACTGCTGCTGTATCCTCATGTGAACCTACAGCAGAAACATCTGAGCGCTCACTCTGGAGTTCCAAGCTCCCGGATATGATAAATAAAGAGATGATGACAGCATGCAGTGTTCAGTATGCTACATAAACACACTAGAGCAGAGATCACCCCAGGCCTTTTTTGGAAGAGCTACGTATAAGCAAAGCAGGGGGAAAAAAATAAAAAAGGCCATCCATCCATCCAGCGAAAAAGAGGAGAGCAGAGCTGTAGCTCTGAGAAGGCCAGTGTTGCTCGGGCCAAAACAAACAGGAAAATGAGAGAGGGCTATCATCCAGACTCTTGTAAATGTTGCTAAATGCACAGCCACTTCTCAGAATCTAGGAACCTGCTGGACACCGTTTCATTTCGGGTTCATTTGGCTCGTCCGTATGAGGAAAACAAACAGACATGAGTTTGCTCAGCATCTGCTGAATCGGTTTGAAGTTCAACAGATGCCGGGGTAGCCTGAAAACATCTCTAACCTTTAAGATCCCATTTTTCCCATTGCTTATGGAGCAAGCTGACTAAAGATGTTTCTTCTGCATCAGTATTTATCAAGAACCCATCACAACAGCCGTCGGTGAAACGCTTCTCACTAAAGTGTAGTAACCTCAAAGCAGTAAACAGATGGAAAGGTGATCCATCTGCCTCAATTCCACCACTCCATGACAGTTGCTTGCAGATAAATAAACTGCTACTGGATTTTCCCGGATCTCCCAGAAATAGCTTTCCAGGACAAACATCCCCCATAAGGCAACGGCTGCCCAACAGCTTTGCTGCCGATGTAAAGGAAAACATTACCTACTGGATGATGTCCGAGGATAGCCCTTAGTCCACGTTCATCAGGTCCCTCTAAAGCTCTGCGAGCCGCCTGGCGGATCTTTGAGGGTCTCATCGAGGTGGGACCCTCCCAGCACTGACCTTGACCCTCCCTATCTCGGGGGGTCTGTTTGTTTTAAACAGCAGGCGATTCCAGATGGACTTGTCACCACATGCCACCTGGGAATGTGGCACCTACTCAGCAACTGTGCGGACCAAGGCATAAAATCCTCCTCCCTCTGGAATTGCTCACGCAGGACGAGTGAGGGACACAGACGGACTGCTGGAGGATCGCTAGGATTTGCTGTTGGACGACCAGACCATCTCTCAGGGTCCCTAATAAGTTGAGCCTCACAACTTCATCTTAACGTGTCATCAGATCACTGACACAAAAAGGTTAGAAATGACAGTTTTATCCCCTTGTTATGATAACCCTGTGGATTTTTAAGAATGTGACAATCCATATCTCCAGTAAATTCAGACAATGCTATGGCAAGATCAAGCAGCTTTTATGTCCGGTGTACAATACCAGAGGAATCATCCTATTGACCACTTTCCTCTTTGAAATAAATAGCTGTAGAGTGTAAGAGCCATGTAAGGAAACTCTCAAATGGTAAGACAGGGCTAGCTATTGTTTGGGAGATGGATATTTTGGCTGCTAGAGCATTTACAGGAAAAAATAACAACAAAGAAGCAGGTGAGAGGGGCTTGTGGCCCTGCATTCACATTAAATGGGGAATTTCTTTAAACTGGAACTAGTTTATTTTTATCTTGCATAATGATCTGCTACGCTGATAATGTGTCATAGTGATTTCCTGTTTTGGTCCAGATTCCTTCAAGAGATGACCTGGGAAAAGAATGTCGTAAGCAATGTGCAAAGAACAACAGGTATGACCAAAGAAGGCGGCCTGTGTTTCCAGTAAAAACAAGCACTTCCAATTCTTGGCCTAACAATGTTGAAGCTATAATCTCCAAGACTTTGGCCATCAGATAAAATTAGCCCGCGTACCTATTCAGTTCCAATCAGCGATCATCATAATGGAAGCCGTTTAGCACCTGCAACAAACACTTCACTGTTTCATACAGAAGAATGAACAACGGAACAAAGAATAACAAGAGTCTTCAACATTTCCAACATTAATGAGAATTACACTTGAAGGGAATTTACCAACCAGTCATTTTTTCTGGCTAACTGGCTCCATTTGTGATCCTAATATTTCAGACTGGAGGAGGGGTTGTTATTCTACTAGGATCTATATACTGTAACACAAAACATTCTTGGTTTGAAGAATGACGAAAATTAATGTTAAGCAATGAACAAAAGTTAAAAAGGAGTAGTATTATATTAGACTGTTGGTAATCACTACTGTTTTTGCAGGCTGGCCTCAATAAATATTTGTAAGAAATATATCTTTGACATATCAACTGATATTACTCTATATTCTTTAATTTAAAGTCAAGTTAGCATTTATAACTTCTCAGCAGTAAAGAAAAATGAAAAAAACTGAAAATAAATCTAAGTTGATCTAAGTTGATCTGTGCTGTTGTCTAGTAGGCAACAGCACATTCATTCATGATAACTGAGTTTTGCCTGAAATGATGGACAATTTCCCCTTTCTTTGGTGGTGGTCTGGAGTCTTTTTTTTGTTTGCTTGACCAGTATGAAAACTGAACAACGATGGGGTGGTACAAAGTTGAACTTATGATGTGTCACATGCGGGGGGGTCTCTCTTTGTGAAACATTCAGAGGCTGCCTTGACACTGAGCTGTGTCAACACAAAAGAGCTCTCATCACACACTCAGCTGGACAGTGGACAGAGAGAAAGGGCTGTTACGTAAAACCGTTTGACTTCTGCTTTGTCAACAAATGGCTGAGAAGGGAGAAGCTATCCAGTGCCGCCCGCAGATCACCAAACAGCTCCAAACATGGCGCGAAAGGGCCGCTCCGGAGCAGAAGCTTATCCCCTTAATTGAGACCCTCCCCAGCTCTCTTCCATAAACAGCTTCCACTCTGGACGGCGGCCTGGGATTCAACACATTCCTGAAGCAAAGCTATTTGAGGTTTATTTCAAACAACTGCAGCATAAAAGGAAATGCATGTAACTTACACACTAGAGTCATTATAGGCTTCTGAGCAGGATTACACCCTCATGCTGACAATGGAGCTCAGCTTAAGCTGAGCTGTATGGACATGGAGTCTGTGCTTTTACATTCTTCAAACCTTCATTAATGACAAGTTGCAGCCACAAAGAAACTGAATGCTATCAGGATCATATCCAGGGCTTCTTTCAAGGAGCTCTCCTGACACTCAAAGGTCATTTTTGAGCAATGAGAAAAAAAAAAATGTGGCGCTTACGTCCTTGAGTTCTCAGAAAGGCCCGCAGCCTGCCAGCATGTCCATGAGAAACTCAGACAATTACGGGACGCAAAGCCAGGCCAGATCCTCCAGACAGGGAGCACTTGACTCATATGTATGAAGGCCCTGTGGCCAGACCGCCTGTGGCAGGCGCTGCTAGAGGGCCAGGCTCCTTATAGCGAGTGTGCTAGGTTTTTAGAGCCAGCGCACTAAGAATGTCCGCGAGTTACCCACGGCAATGCGTCTTCACACAAAAGTGCTCCAGGCAAAACTCCAAGTGAGGAAGCCTGGATCGGGGGGACTTGACCGGAGGATAAACAACGCATATTTAAGTAGCGCCCAGTTTACTTTTGCAGCTGCGGAGTGAAAAGTCCCATCAAAACAATGAATAAATAGTCTGAGACGTGATTTAATTTGGGAATATGAGTAAGAGGCACACATGATATTTATTTAACGTCGTGACTAGATAATGAGCTCAGCTGTGCCTGACAGATGCCTCCTGGCTTAGAAGCGGGACATTAGGTGAGCTGCAATGACAATTCAAATTATTGTCTGAGAGAGGGCTGGATGTTTTGACTCCAACGTGGATTGGAAGCTCTGAGCGCGTTCCCTGATATAACTCTCTGAGCGCCTGCGTGACAGGACCGCCTGATAATTGAGTCATAGGATATGGCGGCTAAATGCGAATATAAACAGCGATGTGATAATCCAGCAATTTTAAGTGCTATGAAGGCATCCTCGTGCGAAATGAGCATGCAGCGGGACTCCAGAGGGCCCCTATCACGGGTCTATTTGGAGAATGTGGGCGCAGCCTGGCTCGTCTGGTCACACCCAGCGACAAACGCCGGCAGGCAGCTCCACCAGTAACAGCCCGGCTTCACAGGTGGCACCGCACATATCTGATCCTCAGAGCGGCTCTCTCCGGTCAGACGGGGATTTCTTGACCGTTACGGTGTGGCGTGTCTGACGGCGAGAGAGAAAAAGGGCTGGTTCTGGTCTCGGGCACAAAGAAAGTGTCCTGATGTGGTTGCCTTCCCAACAGGCATGAGGAGAAAAAAAAGAGGGGGTGGGTGTGGCTCAAATCTATCACCAAAGCAATATATTGTCTTTCCACCGTTGTGTTTACACACACCCTTGATTGTGGGGGGTGGACGTTGTTGTGACACCGACCTTGAAAAGCCAAAGCCTGATACTTCACTTCACCGTCCACTTCACCCACCCGACGGCAGACCAGGCAGAAGAAGGGGGTGAGGAGCGCGTTGCCGAGCAACCTCCTGTAACATTAACAAGGAGTGAAAACAGAAACCGGGTGTCTGGCTGAAACATCCGGCCTATTCCACGGCTATCGGTTATTGTTCCCAGACAGAGCCACCGTCTACAAACACCGAGGCTGCTGTTCACGTCATGCAAATTCCCTGCTCCATGAAGCAGGTGGTGCACATAAACACTGGCACATAAATGTGCTTTAGCAAGAAGAACAATGCCATTAAATGATCTGGCTATCGTACAGTGAGATAGATTACGCACTTGAGTTTAAACTCATTCCAAGCACATAAGGGCAGTTGGACTAATGTACATTGCAATAGTTTCTTACTCTAACAGTTTTTGCAAATTCCGTTTAGAGATTTATGTCTCCTCTTAAATCGAGGAGAGCTGCGTAAGACAATTCCAAACAAGCTCCATGAAATATTGACTAAAATTGGGCTGGGGTCACACCACCGGGACCTCTGCTTACCAGAGAGGTTCCCATTGTCATGGTGGCAAAACCAAAAGACTGAACTGCAACGGGCTGATGTATCGTGATGTCCAAAGAGCAAAAGTGTTCTGGCCGAAATGACAGCCAGGCCAAACGTCACACTTTGTTGGGCGATTCTTTCACGAAACAACTTGAATTTGATGAGTTTACAGGGGAAATCTTCCACGGCACACTTTTAAACCAATTATAATGGTTGAATCTACTCAAACCTTTTGTACATATTTGGCTCGCAGAACTTGACTGCTATTTGACCCAACAAATAGCTCACAGCTGGCCTCCAAATGTATAAATGTAGCAAGTGTCTCTGGCAACACAAATCTATGTTTCTGCCTTATTGCAACACATAAACCCATTTCATTCACTGCTGAGCTGCTATTTTATTTCAATACCATAGAAATACAAAAACGTGGGGAGCTAAAGGATGTTCCATGCAAACCTACATCTCTGCAGATCTCTTAGAGCTGTTTTCGTCTCAGCCATGTGACAAGAAGAGCAGGAGGACCGCGATAAGATATACATCTGTGATAAGCTATGGATCAGCTATAGGGCAAATCCGTCCGGCTGCTTTCCCCCTGTCCTTCAGGCAGTTTGATTAATTATTTGTGGGTGGGTTAATATTTGATCACGCACTATTTAGTGTCGCCTTACACAGATCCCCTGTAGCCAAATCATGAATGAAAACGTGTAAAGCGTGTGTAAATCTGCTGAGTTTCACTCCACTCCTCCATGGAGGAGCAACTCATTTAGGGAAAAGGGTGATATCTATTCGAGTTAGGTCAAAGTTCAGCTGAAGACTGAGGCTGAACAGGGCAAGAAAGTGGATTGTTGTGCTTTGAGGGGCCAATTGGTCATGTCCAAAGCTGTTCATTATGAGCGGGCAAGACCTGTTTGTCAGACCACAGCATGTAGTTAAACATTCATGTCCCTGTGTCAATAGAGGAGGAGAATGCTCACAGTGGCACTACTGTGCAGTTACACAACACCGGCTGCTCGGTTAATAACCCCTTTGAACGAGATTTTTTTTTTTAAAAAGAAGCTGATATGGAGGCCGGACATTCATCCAGCGGTCCTTAACATCTCTGTGCCGCATAACATGCATTCCATTAAGTGCGTGGTCCTAATGTGGCGGTCCCAGTGGACGCATGCGTCTGTGGCTCTGCTGCCTGTCTCACGGTGACAGAAGCTTCGGGGCCGGGCGAGAACTTTAAAGGAGCTATATTGCATGGCGTGATATGCAGGGTGGTGTGGAGTCGCAATGTGTATCCCGTCCTGGAGTGCGGCACCCCGCGGTGGGTTCCGTTTCCACGGCACAGATCTGCGGGGACTGCAGCAGCTGTCCCAAAGCCGGAGAGCGCAGACCTCAACGCACCGCGTCAAACCAGCCTCTCCACCTCACTGAATCTGCTAAAATCACCAGCAACCGGCACGTTTTCCATCGGCCGGACACGGTGACATCACTGAGCCTATGCAGCCTAAATCCAGGTGTTAGGAAAGTGACGGTAAACTGTGCGGGGGGGAAAAAAAAATCTATGGGAATATTCCCCCATCATCCGTGCGGGAGCACTCACCTCTGTGTGTTGGTGATCCAGCGTTGGGCTCACTGCTGCAGACACACACAGACACACACGCACACACACTCTTGACTGAGCCCCCAGCGGTCCAGCCGCACACTCACGCCGCTGCGCTGCGTAAACACCGGCGCACGTCACAGGGCGCCTGTCCTCCACAGCCCCGCACTCAGGCCAGCGTCAGCACACTTCTGCGCAGAGGCATCGCAAGCATTGCCCCCCCCGCCCCCCCCCCCCCCACACACACACACACACACACACACACACACTCACTACACTGGATGCATTTACTCACTTGTGCCCTCCCTTTTCATCCCTAAAAAAAACCTGAAAGCAACGCCGGGGTCCGTATCTTCTAAACTGACTGCCTCTCCAACTGCAGGCAGCGTTGTTTCTGCAGTGGCTGAGGAACTTAGACAATATGCTGCTGTGAATCAAGATGAAAAAAAAGACAAATAAGCCCCATTAGCTTCGCTCTATCGCATCCAAAACACTTAGTTTTTCTTAGCAATTCTCTGTGTTAAAACACAGAGAATTTACAGTTTTAATAATACAGACGTCAATGCTCATGATACAAGTAATTCCTTTAAATGTGACTTTATGGTCCATGAATGAGATTCACCACTTATTGCTTCAAAGAATAATAGACGGCCAAATATCTCTTGTTCATTTGACCCCATTGTCAATCAATACCCATTTCACTTTGAATGATTCAACCAAAAATAGTCAACTCCATTACTCACTGCATAACCCTCCACAGAAATTTAGAGGGGTGAATGCTTCAGTAGTCTTGCTTCTTTTATGCTCATAATGTGTTGTGATTTGATTAAACTGAAATGTGTGCAATGAGATCAAATCAAGGGCAGAATTTTCCCATGTAGAGAGCACCATCCAGTGTTCAGACTGCGTAACACATGCTGTCCTCTTCATGCCTGCTGAAATGGGAACACCTGCAGGCAGGGGTCACTGGGCAATGCCCTGCAGGTTTTAGATGTCTCCTTGTCTCAGAATACTTGATTCAGATTGAATGCATCCGTTCAAAAGACAAAGTTTCTCACAAGTCAGTCAACTGAATCGATTTGAATCAGCTGTTGAAGCAGAGAAACATCTACAAAATCACAGGACAGCGGCCCTCCGGGACTCGTTTTGAGATTCCAGCCTCACAACGAATGACCCGAACCCAAACCACACATGCATTCAATAGATGATAAGAAAGATAGATTTAAAATATCATGGCAGAATTATTTCATGTTCCAAATTTATTACAGGTCAAAGTCTGTACAGTAAAACATACCACGACATACAGTATATAATAATCATCACACGCATTTCCTTTTACACATACCCATACCCAGATAATTGAATGTTAAAAGTAAACTGATGTGTATAGTTGTTAGAAACTCTAAACTCTAAGTCTAAACTTTTAAAAAAGTGTTCATCTGCTTGGGTTTGTCCTGATGGCTGTTAGGAAAAAAAAGGCACATTGCTCAGATGTCTGTTCAGTTCCGCTTGTGAGTTATTATCTCTAAAGATTAAAGTGGCGATGTGTGTGCATCACCGCATTCGGCGAGGAATAGGAGGTGCTGAATCTGCTGGTCTGTACGAGGGCCTTTGAGGGAGTGCTCGTGTGGGGCAGGATATGTAGCGCTCGTGCAACATCTCGGGCACCCTGTGGGAGACGTAATGCAGGCTTTTAGGTACTCGGCTTGAAAAAGAAATACGGCCAAGAATAAACCTTGACCTCAAGCTTACAGTCATCAATCCACAAAATAAAGAAAATAAAAAAGGAAGTTGAAGTCCCAATGTGCACCTCAAGACTCTACAAACTGTGGTCTGTACAGTGTTAAGTAACAGTGCTATTTTTAGAAAATGATGCACTTGTGTTGGCAGTGTCAATTTGAATATTCAATAGATTCATTTACATTTACAGTACAGAAGAGTCAATCCAGAGTCAAATTATTTTACATTCTGCTTCCAGTAAACCAGATTTTTCTTGTAAAGTGAACTTGAGCTGTAATTTTAAGGTTCTTCTGACACTTTTTCTGTATTTGACAATTTTCAGCATCCACTATTTTTAGTGGGACGCGGTTAATCGCTGTTAGGCAACTGAACACCGACCAATGAATCATTCAAGAACAGGAAACCGTAGCCTAATTCAAGGCAAGAACCAGCGTTGTGTCGACACTTCACAGACAACTCTACACAATTGTAACATCGACGTTTCACTTTCCTAACTTACATACACAAAAAATAATACTTTCACGCTTCTTAAAATGATTGATGAACTTTAAAGCTAAAAAAATCGACTTTCTGTATTTCCTGTTATTATTTTAATAGTTTTTGCTGACATATGAACGCTGACAACCGCAATTTAAGATTAAATGGTGGTGTAGAGTTCTCATTCGTCAGAGATGCAAATCCTAGTGGAGATTAAAGTTATTAAAGTTCACTTTGCCTCTGAACCAGTGCAATGTTGTTATAACTGCACACAAAAATTCTTACATTTACTTAACAAAACCAACAGCTTCCTGACCCAAACTGCATTCTTTTAACTTTTTTCCCTGCTGCATTAAATGTCAGTCGTTTAAGAAAGAAAGTGTACATCAGTCTGATGAATTAGATACGAGCAAAAATCACTAAAATGATGGTTTCTTAGTGAGTTTAGTTCACCTTGTAAGTAGTTTAGGTTGTAATTTTTAGCTCACTTTTAAGGTGCTGAATAATTAACTGACATTTCTAGGTTCCTAAAGGCCAAAAGGAAAAGACAACAATCAACCTTTATCACAAACGTTTCAACTGAAACTCATATTTCCAAATCATTATTTAGCCAAATTCCATTGAATTAATCACAGATTCAGTGGTTGGTCATGACCTGTTCTGTACCGCACAGTGTCATATTTGCATTGAGCTTCATAGAAGCCCCATGAATCCTTTCCCACTGGGCTATGCTGCCATAATGAGTGTTTGTATCCATTCTTTATTAACACGTAGTTATAGCACCATGTGGCATTTTCTCCCAAGATTTATATAGAGCATATCAATGATCAAAACCAGACATAAACAGTCACGCAACAACATCTAGACAAGATCTCACAGCAAAACCGAAACCACACGGATAGATCAGCGCAATATGTCACACCTTCAAGTCTGTGCTTACATGTAGGCAAGTATGAGAATGATGTTTTTCCCACAACAAAAGATTCTCAGAACTCAGCTGCTCTGAATATGGGTGCGTGGGGGGATTTTAATATCACTCCATGGCAAAAGCCAGCCATGTTATCTCCAAATCTGTCTCTTATCTTTATATTTACCTGTGTGTGTACATGGTTATTTTAACAGTACTTTGCCAACACACAGAATCAGAGTTGCAATCAGTTGTCAGACATAAAAAAGATGCTCACTAGCAGCTGCATTCCTCAAGCACAATAACAGGAGTGTGAAGATAAAGTAAGACAGTGCATACTCAAGAGTTTAAATCTTACTCTTTTTCACAACCTTTAAAGGATTAGTCGGCGCAATCTACAATCAAACCCCTTTCAGAATCCCTTTGCCCTTTGCAGTCATTTAAAATCCCTCTCAGAATACACTGCTGCGCTAAGAGGCTATTTATCCGCTATAAACACCCCCACCTTTACGCTCTCTCACACTAGCTTCCTCTTCATCTCACAGCTGCAAACTCACTGGTGGGTGAACGCTTCCTCTTTATCATTTATTGTGTCGCTCAGAATCGCTCAGAAGTGTGAGTTAGGAATCTTTACGCTGACCTTTCTGGGATCCGTGGGGGGATCCTGGGCAGAGGCATTAAGGCCGCGGGATCAGATGACCGTGGAGGTCGAGGAGGAGGCGGGAGATTCTCAACTGCATCCTGAAAACGAAGAAGAAATACACAAAGTCAAATCAAAGGGGTGCAACCATCGTCAAAGTTGAAGTACTTCCTCAAGCCGATTCTTGTAGTTGGTTCTACCAGTTTTTATTGAAAGTGGTGTGACAGGAAAAGGGGCAGAGAGAGTGCGGGAAAGAGAGAGGGGGAGACACTAACCAAAGGGCCAATGTCTGGAATCAAACCCAGGCTGTCTACACGGGAGGACAGAACCTCCACATGGGCTGACCACAGAGTCAAATCGAGGCCCCATGTCAGGATTAAATTATATGAACAAGGTTACTAGCCACAGTTACAAACCAAATCAGAGGGAGTCTTCAGTTAGTGCAGCCAGACATTCAAATGACACGGGCGACATGGATTTTCGAGGCCTGTTAAGAAAGAAACTCTCGCAGCCTCCGAGCGACTGCGTTCGCAATTAGATTGGCATTTTATTTTGAGAAACGAAAAATTGAAGTGGACTTTGACAAAAAAAATTGAGCCTGCCTCCCTTTGTCTACTCCTGGGTACCGTTTCAGGGCAGTTTACAAAAACAAAAAAAGGAACCGCCATACCTCTTTCTGCTGTAAAAAAAGAAAAAAAGAAAAAAGCCCCATGTCCAGTTCATAAAAGTGCACCAGTCAGGGAGGAGCTCACCTCAAACTCGGGCTCCGTGCCGCTGCTGCAGCTGAAAGTGCTGTGAGTGCTGAGTCTGTTGCTCTCAGTACCTGAGGAAAAAAATCAATAAACACAACAGAAAAAAAAACAAAAAAAAAACAAGTTAATGTGGAATGAAAACACGTGGTTTCCAGTTGCTGAGGGGCCAGAGCTAATGCTGAGTTGGGTCGTAAAACCCCTTCACAGGGTGTGGGGAAGAGAGTCTTTTGAAATATCACACACACCCACACACACACACACACGTGAAACATGCCCGCAAGGAGAGGTGAAAGAGAGAGACCAGTATTGTTGTGGTTTTCGACACTTTGCTTTTGCCCCATTCAGTGTTATCATTTGAGCAAGTTTCATCAAAAAGAAAAACTCTAGACGAGTAAGACATAAACTAAATGCCCCTTCGATTTAAGGTTTGATGTATTAGGACAGAACCGTTTCTTTTACAAGGATGCGACAGACAGATGACGTCACACAGAAAACTATTTCCTCAAGCCAGTGCTGCAAAAGGAAAAGTGGTTCCAAAAGCTGTTTGTTGTGAGGGGCAGAGCCAGGAGGCCTTCATCAGGGACACAGTCGCAGGTGTGTCCAACTAACGACGCTTCAATTCAGCACACCTGTGCCCCCCCCCCCCCATTGTCCCTTTTTACAGTCATTGGCTAAAAAGATGGACATGGAAGCTGCCAGCAGAGCACAGATATTTCATTTAAGTGAATTACGTATTTTAAAAAAAGAATAAATAAAGAAAAAAGCAAGAGACACATCTGAGGTACAGGAAATCAGTATGATTAATAGCTGATGTTTGGGGGAGATAAAGAGAGAAGGAGACTTTGTGAAGTTTTCCCTCCACTTGTCAATGGGACGTTTTTTAGGATTAAGAGGCCCAACTCACAGTTGCATATTTGTCAGCTCTCTTAGCTGGTTGGAACCCCAGATTTCTAAACATGGAATCTGAAGAAAAATCATTAAATAAAAAAAAACAACTAGATGATGTCTAATAGTTGGCTGTGTCTGTTTGGAGCGATAGCCGATAACGTGCTCCGCTCTTGTGCAGGAAGTGTTTCTTACTGTAACGTCCTGTCTAACTAATGCATGCTCATTAGTTAGAAGCATCCGAGGAGATAAGAGAGCCATCATCCCCCCAAAAAATTTCCAAATTTATCTATGTTGTAACAATAGTCTATGTATCAAAAAGCATCAAGTTACTAAATAAAGAATTTATACCTACCATTCGGAGTGAGCTTATAAGAAAAAAAAAAGGGCGGTGGTGAATCTCAAATATTTTCTTTTGAAATTATATTTATTTTGCTTGCATACTGTAGATTTTCTCTTAAGATTTTCTCGTAATGCTTTGTTATTGAATTTTGCATTGATTATGTTGGTATATATATCTGATACTACACATGTTTGTTTTGTGATGGGGTTTTAAACACACACTCAAACACACGAACACACACAAGAACATAACTACGAATTCAATCAAAGCAGAGACAAAAAACGAAAAGATGTGGACCTACTGGATGTGCTGGACGTGCTGCCCGTCTTCCAGCTGCCTCTCTGTGGGGGCTGGACCGGAGGAGGGGGTTGTGGAATCGTTCTGGGTGCCGGCTCATACACGGCGCACTCTAACGTCATGTTTGAGCCCCAAAATAAGTTCCTCTGCATTGGAGCGCTTATTTCATAATCTAAAGAGTAGACAGAGAGACTACATCAAATATGCTCCCTTTTTTGTTTTTGTTTTTAAACCCTGTTCATCTCATTGGTAAGCTGTGTCTTTACTCTGTATCATGTCAATGAATATGTCTATAAATGCTCTACTACAGAAAAATGACTCCAAGCATTTTAAATATTCCAATAATGAATTATACCTCGCTCCTTCCCTGACTTTTCTCTTTCTTTGTGACGTCTGGTGATGCTGTCCCGCAATTTTTTCAGATTTTCCTTGTGAAAAAAAACGAAAAAAAGTTTGATTTATTGCTCGCACATTAATCAACATTTATTTGACCATGAAGCTTGCAGGTTTGACCAACCTGCTGATAGCGTAAGGATGTCGCCCTCCTTTCGTGGTCGAACTGCCAGGCCTTGAACTCTTGGACTGCCTCATCCACAGTTATTTCCCCCACTTTCACCCTTTCCTGCAGGCATATGAGCTGCCTCTGCCCGGGGGTCTTCATCCCAGCATAGGGGTCATAGGTCGATGTCGGGGGTTGAGTTGCAGGCCGCACTGTATAAAAAACAAAAAACATTTAACCGAGTAATAAATCTATCAGAAGTTTAACTATATTTTGTGTAAGAATGAGTGTCTATATACAACTGAAGTAGTCTACAAATTATTCTGATTAGATTTCAAATATTTGGTGCTAATAAACTTGAGGTAAACCAAATTAAGTAACAACACTGTAAGAATTCACAAGGAACAAGTCTGATCAAATATTTTTGTCAGCGTTCATGTTGGAGAATGTTTATGTTAATTTTTGTTCAAAAGATTTTAAGAGATTAAGAAGCTGTCACGATAAATAATTCACAAAATTTGGGGGATAAAAAGTCTCTTATAGGTCTTAATCTGGATTTCAATGTAGTTGTTCTGCAGAAAAAATGCATCTGACTTATGTTTCTAATTGACTTTGACTATATCCTGTTTGTATTTTATCCCTGCAGTCAAACTCTGTTCATATCTGTGGTTATAGACGCATCACTTCTCAAATAATAATCGCACATCCTGCTTTAATATGTTCTTCTTACCGCTTCCGATCAACAGCTTTGAGAAATCTGGTTTAAAAATAATGCCGCATTCTAGTTTAACATGAAACCATGTGGGACAGGGCAAATGAGATAGATATGAGTTTTTTAAAGGCCTATTCGTCTCTAGCTTTGGATTTTTAAAATGTATTTTCTCTGTGAGGCCATGTGCATTTTTTTCTGATTCAGCTACATTAAATTGAGTCCTGACCATTGAGCTATAGGTAATGGTTATATTTGGCCTTTGTTGTTACGTTTTGTCTCACAGTACGAATGCCTCCAAGATTAAAGAAGCATTTCTAGATAAAATGAGATGCAAATATGTTTTCACGTAGAAATTTAAATAGTCTTCATAATCTACTGCAGTCGGATGGACAACGTAAGTTAAACTCAACTCAGAATGAGTTAAACCCAACTTCTCAATTTAGAATGAAAATAAAATCCCTCCAAGAAGCTGGCGGTACTGTATCAGGTGAAAACAAATGAACAGACAAACAATCTGAGCTCTACCTGCAGGACTTTCTGTCTCCGCTTCTTTATTCTGGGATGTGCTCCTACCTGAAAACACTGTGCAAAAAATGAGCAGTTATCAATGTTCCCAAGAACTACATCATATAAACAGTACAGACATGTGAAGTTAACAAACACGGGCTGCAGAATACCTCTAGAAATGTAGGTCTCAGGTTTGTTGGGTTCCGACTCATGCTCGGGTCTGGGGATAGGGGCTGGTGGACGGTTTAGGAGCACTGGGTTGTAGGTGTTATTTGAATCCACAGTATCATAAATATCCTCTGGACAAAAATCGTATGGATCCTCAGCCTCCTCTTCGCTTTGATTAAAGTTAACTGGTCCATCTGTCTCTTCCTCCTCAGATTTAGGGTGCAGGATGTCGTCCAGCTCTTTTGTAGCATTAGGTTTCGCTAAAGAATACATACACATGAGTACACAGAAACAGAGCTTGTGCTTGCTCACCCGTTTTCTGTGAGAGTCAACACTGCTGCATACCTTGGAAAAACTTCCTGAGCATCGCTTCTTCTGGATTCTCATCTGCCACGGTCATCATTTCATCTGACAAAAGATAGGGAAGACAGAACAAAAAAACAAACAGAACAAGTACAAAGCAGCACCATCAGTGTCTGAAGAGGGCTCATTTGTTTGTGAGAAGCAGCAGGTAAGATCTGATCTTACAGAGGCCCTCTGCACACTCGGGGTTGATCTCCACCATTGACTCATATATGTCCTCTGAGCAGCCCGAGTACTTCATCATGATCTCTTCAGATGTTGCTGACATGGCCTCGTACACCTCTGTGACATCGTCTGCGTTGACGTTGTCCTCCATGTGAGAGTTGAACATATCTGCTGTTTGCTGCATTGGTTTAAACACAAGAAACGGACAACTTAGGGGAACTTCTTAGTATACACGAAACGTGGCTGGAAACATACGGTGACGTACAACGTATTCATCCATAAAACGCCTCAGCTCCACGAAGCCACTCTTCTCCGCCAGCGTGTTGGGGTAGTCCCCGTGCTTGTTCATCACGCTGTAGGCCTGCAGGGCGCCGGGGCAGCTGAGGAGAGTGGTGGTGAGCCCCTTCAGGCCGTGCTTGGCAGCGAAGTGGAGCAAAGTGGGAAGCTCCTCGTTTCGTTGATCTGAAAAACAAGTAGCGAACCACCACGGAGCTTTCACTTTGCGTCGTGTCCTTTTAAAAAAAGGTCAAGAGAGGGAGCAAACTGACGGCAGATTGCAGTTCCCCCTGGTCCGTTCCAGTAGAACGGGCGACAAATGGAGCGAGAAACGGCTGATCTGAACCCACATGCCGACATGTCGTCCTCTTCGATCTGTTTGACCCCGAACAGCTGAAAACCAGTTGAAGGCATCCTGGATTTTAAGGAGTTTGTGAGCAAGGTGTCCAACGATTCTGTTGCATTCAATGTCAAGTTGAATGCCTGGAAGTGGAAAAGAGACACAAAAAAGATGAACTCGTGAAGCAGAAGAACTTTGAAAGCGGCCAAAAACCTTCCTGAAACAAAAGGTTTCACCTGGCAGATGAAGTTCACCGGATCAGCAGCTTTTTCCAGATGCCGACTGACCTCTCCCATGCTGGTGTAATACGTGACGGGCATCAGGCTGACGCATGACCGCTCGATGTACAAAGCGAGGGTTGTCGGTCCAGCTGGCATATCTAGATAAAAACAAATGCAGATTAAGAGGCGGCACTCATCCTGCAGAGACTGGTCCTGCAGATGCTCACCAGGCGCAGAGACGCTTATTGTGCAGTCGTTCTCCACGCGGACCGGAACCCTTTTTGCAGCGACATTTTCAGCTGAAAACTCCACCTCTCCAACTGAGCAATCATCCACTTTGGTGGTGAAAAGGATAAAAATGGTCTCACGATCCTTTAATAAACAGAAAAGTACGATAAAATGGTATGTTGGTAGTTATTTTTAGTATTCGTAGTACCAATCTTTGACCTGACATCAAAAATTGGGGGAAAAATATTAATAAACGGCACAAGTTCAAAACCATATTAGCATCCATACTAAAAGGAAATTCATTTGAATAGCCTTATAAAGTGTCTGCTATCTGCAGGTCAGGTGAATGTGGCTGTGGCTGGCTCTCTTACCCCACAGTGAACTCTGTTTGGCTGAACGGTGAGGCAGGTGAGGGGCGCGGGTGGGCTAATTTCTTTGCTGGCTGAATTCTTATTGGTCACTGGCTTTTCATCTTTCAGTGCCCTCTCTTCTTGCCCCTTTAACGCCGCTTCCTCATGTTCAGAGGTGGGGTTTTCACTCGAAGAGGCTGCTGTCGCATGCAAATGTACTGTGACTGCGGCGGCTCGGCGCTCCAGCTCAGCCTCTGCTTTCCTGCCTTTGAAATAGATGTTGATGTCATTGATCATGTTCGTTTTTTGAAAGCATTGCACTTATTTTAACATCAGACGTAGACTGAGGGCATCCTGTTCCGTCTTTAAGGAGCAACTTGTAAAGATGGTTTTGAGTTTTAAACTACCAAACTAAAAGGAATTTCATAATGTGTAATGACTCACTGGTAAAACTGTCTTAGCAGCCTCTTGGGGACAAGTTACAAGTGTGTGTGTGTGTGTGTGTGTGTGTTAATTTCAGTTTGAGACTAAATTGTCTCCGAAATGGCAAAATGTTTCCAATCGTGTTAATTTATAGTGTAGAGACAAATAAGTTTCCCATATTTCTCTTCAGTTTCTGGGAATCGAAGAACTTAAAATCAAATGTTAATTGCTGACTCATCAGGGCAGACTTACAGGTTAAGAATTTGCCCTTTTGTAATTTGCGTAAAATGATCTCGACCTTGTGTTTTCAACCAGTCCTGGAAGCAGGTCATATTAATATGTATTGATAGTATCAGGAAAAGGTTTTTTTTTTGTTTATACCACATTTACGGTTAAAGGTTACATGTCTAAGATTGCCTTCCAAAAGCTTTGTTTTCGGCATGTGTACAACACAGCACACATGAATGTGAAAAAAACGGTCGGCATACTGTCAGCGATGGATTCCAAAATGGTGGAAACGTAAACGCCGGGCTCGTCCTCGGCATAGAGCTTCCTCCAGCTCGGCCAGTCTGTAAAGCCGGCCTCCGTCATGTCGTCCTCGGGCACTCCGCATAGGAACGCCACCACTCTGTGCGGAGGATAAAGGAGTCTCTGCACGGCCTCCAGCAGCTCCTGGTCGCAGAGGATGTCCACGAAGACCCCCGAGAGGAGCAGCACGATGCACCTGCACCGTCGGAAGGCCTCGGAGTGGCGTCCCTGGAGCTGGTGGGCCGCGCTGACCGCGCACAGGAGCACAGATAGCCGCTGGCAGCTCTGGGATGATTTCAGGATCTGCTGCAGATAGGTGGCCCACTCCTCCGCCTCGGCGGTGTACAGAATGAGCAGCTCAGGTGCTGCTGGGAGCGATTTGGAGGAAAAACATCACAGCGGGATTAGGATGTGCAGAGTATGTATTCAAACATGAAAGAACTAATCATCACCTTCGCTTAAACGCGTGCGATTTGGCTTAAACATGCTAAATGCCCCGGCAGCTGCCCTAATGACACCACAGTGGGGACATTATGCGCTGGTTTCCATGTCGCAGCCGGTTGTGTTTATCGTGGAAAGCCCCCACAGCATACCAGCTGTCCGGCCGCCGGACGTCAAGGTGGAGAATGAATGTCCGATCTGTCCGGCCTTGCAGGCCAGTGCCAGCAAGAAGGTGTGCAAACACTGCAGTGTGTCAACGCTGGCCGGTGTAATTTTGTTTGACTCATTACTGTGTTTAATCAGGTCAAGTTCACCCCTCTACGCAGTGGCTGGAACAGAAACCCAAACATGAGCGTTCACCTTATTCACAGTTCCCACAAGCGGCAGGGCGGTGAGAGCCGGCATCTGTTTGCTTTGTAAAGGACATAACTGACTTAGATTTAGATTTGTTGGAAATTCTTAATTAACGGACACGTGAATTCAACCACAAAGGATCCTCAAATGAATGGTTCCTCTTTTTCTTTTAACCCCATAAGAAAGATTCTTAATGGAAGTCTTCAAACAAAATCCCACGGATGAATAAACATACATTTCAAACCAGAATGAAGTCCCTGTTCGTTAATGATGCCTTCATGTAAACGTTTTGTTTTTTGGGGCTGTTCTAGTATTTTCACCAAACATTTAGCTTTATACAACGTCAAATAAAGGTAGGGAGGACATGTCATTCACCTGATTCGGTACTTGAGATGGGTTCATCCATGGTCCAAAGTTAAAAAAAGCCCCAAAAAATCACCTCCAAAGAAGCATCATATGCGCAAATATTTCCTTTTGGGGTCTCAGGCTCACCGAAACTCTTTTATTCGTCAACTGACACGACGTAAGCTTTCACCAGCTACATGTACGGCTCTCTGCTCACTTGTATAAATAGCAACACTTAGTTTCCTGATTTTGGTGACTGCCCCACTTCCTGAAACAGTAGAAGAAGTGAGAAAATGCACAACAGGCATGTCAGAAAATGTGAGAGCTAACGGAAGGTGCATGTGCCCCTGGCATCTTTATTTGTTTTCTTGTTTAGGTTTTGTTTTGCACTTGACTATTAAACAGTTCATTTAGTGCCAACCTCATCTACGAGCAGAAATGAGAGAAGGTAAGGGTTGGCTGGTTTAGGGTTTAGACGAGCTGGTCAGACCAGGGAGCAAAAACTCACACAAGGCCTCTAGTCTTCTGTGTAGGTAATGCTTTTGTTCTCTGTTCTCAAAAATACTGCGTACACACATAATTATACCGTTCACCTGTTGTTTGAGTCACATGCTTCTTCTGTTTTTTCACTTCCTTTATCAAGGTGTGATGTGTCAAGGGGGCTGAATGGAGTCAAACAGTAAGACTTTAGTTTATTGTTTCTGTCTCACAAAGTCTTATACGTTTGAGTTTATCCTATTGTGAGTCTGTAAACAATGTCACATCAGTGCCACATCAACAGGGCAATCCGGTTTCATTGGAATGGGGCCGTTATTATCAGAGGTGTTTGCAAGCTCCTAACCCATTCAAAGAAAATGACACACATACAGGGTTAGGGTTAGGGCAGAGACACGCCCAATGCACAATGTTACTCCTCAGCAAAAAGGCGAATGACAAAGGAATGAGTCAGTGAGCTCAATGAAACATCCATGTGTTGCAGCTATTACTCAAAGTGGGAAGTTTCAGAATCCAGACTGAGCTGAGACATCCGCATAATGGAAAAAGTTGATTATTGGCTCAATTTAACATCAAGTATATTTTTAAGTGGAGTCTTTGTTTGACTGATTTGACAATAAATAAAAAAAACTCAAATTTTGGGACCTTTACAGTTTTTTTTTTCAATCAAAGAGTCTGAAATGACTATATTATTTAAACAGTACTGAATTCAAATGTTTACTAAAGTTAATGTAGTCTCAAATATTAGGACATAAAATGTATACACACACAATCACACATAGAATGCTCAGAACCACTAGGGGGCAGGAAGATCTCATAAATAGCAGGAAACAGACAGCTCGCCAGTGTGCAAAAAACTAAATGAATAAAATAAACTGATCATGTTCAGACAAAGTTAGAACACGGATTGATATAGATTAAAAGCAGAAAAAAAGTCTCCCTGGGAATCTTTTTACTTACATAGCCCATGTTTGTTATTCTATAGTCATGTGTATTGCCCTTTGGCATACAGCTGTTGTCTTGATATAATTTTGATCTACAAATAAACGTATAAAAAAGCCAATTATTGAGATAAACTAAATGCTTTGCATATAAACAAACACAAACCCACTTGTCTTTGCCCTGCCCTCAGAATTGAGTTTCTTCAACAGCTGAAAAAAGAGTTCATACACCTGACACATCTCTGAATTCATCCAATAACATGGCAGCTTTGACCTCTTTCATGACGCAGACCTTGGAAAGTTCACTTGCAGACTTCTGAGGCTGCCAGCGAAGAGCAGGGTGATCCATGACCTGCCTTTAAGTACAATTTCCTGTCGAAAAAGACTCCCCTAATTTCTTTTAAATCTGCCATTAGCTACCATAAGCATGACCGGACCGTTACCTTTTGTTTGGACTCCCTTGAAACCACTATCTATTAGGTGGCTCAAATCAAATCCTTGCAGCCTGAGTTTAATAAGGGAATATTTTTGCTCCTATATTTTAACCTTGTTATCCAATATCCTGTGTTTGTGTGTGTGTGTTCTGTGTGTTTTCAGCACACACATGGAGTCTCCAACAGAGGGGGCTGACAGCATGAATGTTATGTATGTATATATTTATATGTATATATATATGTATATATATATATATGACCAGCAGTCAACACATAAATAGGCATATATATATATATATATATATATATATATATATATATATATTGCACAAGCCATGAAGTTTACAAGGACATTTTAATAAAAGTTTATCACCTTCACGTTTTACATCTCGAAAGGGTGACAAGAAGGTAATTAAATTTAATCATATATATATTCAACTAAAAGAATAATATATATATGTGTGTGTGTGTGCCCATATTAAAGTCCAGAGCAACAAGCCGTAGTGGAAGGTTGGGAGGTTAGAGCAGATAAGTGCACGTCAAATATTTTGGAGCACAATGGTCACGTTACCATCTCATTTACTGTAATTCACCATTCTGGGAAAGCCCTTCCTCATATCTGCACATCCTCTGCGGTTGTTTGGGAGACTTTTAAAGCAGAGGAAAGCAGAAACAAAGCATGGCTCAGGGATGTGGAGTGCAATCTTGAAATGGAAAACTGAAATGGGGAAAGGGTCCCAAGCTGAAATGTTATTTGGATGATAGCCCGCATAAGAAAGGAACTGTGTTTGGTTTCTCATTGAGAGTCACCAGCAGGGCTCATTGTGATAAGAAAATAAGTCTACTGTTACCTGATCTGGTATAATGTGGACCAATTACCACTCCATTGCACTTCATTACAGGACTGTAATAGGGCCGGGGGTCAGTGCTTGAGATGGAGTGCCAGAGGAAAATTGAGTCGTCATTGATAATATGATAAAAACTGACAGTGAGAGGCCCCTCCAACAAATTATTGAAATTTACAGTTGATAGGGAAACACTATAACCTCATTTGGTAAGCAGCTGGCAAGCACTTGTACAAAGCAGGTCCTCCAGCACAATGAGAGGCTTATGGAGGGAGAGAAATCCTAAACTATCACGGAATGGTCAGGCACTCCTGCTGATTGGCTTCTTGGGCACTTGGACACCGAATGTGCATGTGTCCGGTTTTCAGAAATATCACACAAAGTCGGCTTCTCTTAAACGGGGTGGAGACTTTAGGGGGGGGGGGGGGGGGGACTCCTTCTGTGCGTTACAAGCAAAGTGAATGTGAACAAACAACCGCCATCGATTTCACTCTCAACGGGGGAACAAAGAAATGCAGAGCCTTCCAAAACAATAATCTCAGTTTCTGTAAACCTCTGTGTTCTCGGAAAAGATACAGACCCCGTTTGTTTGTGCCAGTTTAAGTTCCCCCATTTGAGGGTCCCTTGTATAAATAAATCAAACAAACCACCGTCAGACATACATTTTCAATCCATCAAGGTAATCAGATTGTGTTTACCTCAACAGGAGCTATTCTAAACGTTATTAAAAACTTAAATGGAGTTTAGGTGGGGAATAACTAGGCACGGGAAATGATGAGCAAACAGCAGGATAAGATTCCAATTACTATGAAACAAGCATTGCATTGACTAGTAAAGAGGAAAATAGCTCTGACATTTTCCTGGGCAGGAGCTCCCCCCTGACAGGGTTTTGTATCGTGGGAAGAGCACAACAAATTCGACTGGTTGGCTTTTACACATGAGGTGGTAAAAGCCTGCTCCCGATGTGTTACCTCAAAGTCCCAATTCAATTATCTGACCAGCGGTCAACTCATAAATGGGCCGCTCACGAGAGAACACTTAACACGGGTTTGCTTGTTTGTATTTGAAAACCATGTATCTTCACCAGACTGAATATTATCTTCGCCAAAGTCGATGTCCAAAATGCATCTTCACTGCTTACCTTCATTTTCCTGAAGTATTCGGCATGTAAGAATTCAAACAGAGTGCACGAGCCCCATGAAGTCATTACCGTACACAGTAAGAAATGTAATTTGTGAGCCATTAAGGAGACCACTCAGGTTTATCTCAAATATCTAAATAGGCAATATACTGAATGCATGCTCCATTGATCAAAACTGTAACAGGGAAACTTATCAAGTAACCATCATTAACTATTATTTAAAGATAATTTTGCTTTTGTCTCCACTCAGCGGAAGTCACTTCAACACGATAAGACAGTCAATTTGGAAGTCAGCTTTGGCTACAGTAATCACACCGGCCACTAGATAACTCTGGCTTTATTTATTTAGATTGAGCCCTGTGCGTGTCTGGTCCAAGATAATAGTTTCATTTTCCCGACCAAGTTTGCCAGCTACCCTCATTGTGGAGCAAATGTGACAGATTGCCGCTTCATTAGGATTCATCAAGGCCACAAAGATGGAGTCACGAGATGAATGGACAATGCAAAAGAAATAGGCCTCATACAGTCCTTAACTTTCCTTTTAGTGACACGAGTCTGTACTTCACAACTTAAAAGATAAGACATGGTCTTCCTTATTGAAAGTTTGGAAAAATATTAAGTATTTCACAAAAAGACAAAAAAAAATGTTTTTTCCTTCCTTCTAAGAGCTGAAGAAAATCATGAAAAAAATTAATAAAAGTTTTTAAAGTGGTACGTTTGATAAGAATAATGGATTTACATCACAGGGGGAACTTAAGTTATACTTTTAGAAAACATGAAGTGCTATAAAAAAAAGTTCAGGTTTTATATTATGAAAAAAATATATCTAAAGCTTTGGAGTTTAATTTAACATTTTGTGGATTTAAACCCACTAAAAATGTTTCTGATTTCAACATTTTTTTAAAGCAGCTAAACAAAAACATAAAGGCAGCCATGATGATTAAATGTACATAGAATCCACCAGGTCATGCCAGCACCAGTGGCTTACCTTTAAAAATTATGCATGAAGTTTACAGATTTAATGGAGGAAAGTTGAACTCTCCAGGTATAACTTTAACTTAATTCACTCTATGTTTATCTTTACTGCTTTATAGCTTTCGAACAGAAATCATACGAGATAACATTTGAATGAGAAATGGGCGCTCTGTTTCATTTAAACAGATAGATGGTACAGTTTTCAGTATTTTCACATCATCTCGTGTCAATCTTGAAATCTCCATTTAACCTGATCTTTGTGCTTTTTGCATGACTGTTCAATGCCTGCTCTAAAACGTACACATGCTCGTTTCTGTGGGTGAATCTCGATGGATCACTGACTCCCATTGTTTTGCGATGGCTTGACATTAAGGCAGAAC